AACTCGTATTAAATATAATAAAATGTTTCAATTTAATATTCACTTAACTACTTATGCATATTATATCTATGTGACATGATACTTCACAGTTATCTAAATAATTACGAGTTTACGAGTATAAAGAAATATGAGATTAAAAATAAGTCTAACAATATTTCGGCTTCAAAATGTTCACCTTATTTGTTTTATTTTACTGGAATCATTACAAATTACTTGTCTGTATTATTTAAAGTAAGATTTCTTATGAATATGTTTTTGCTAGCTCTAGTCGATTTTGTGCAATTTTTTTATTTATAATTATTAGAATTGTTTAATATATTAATTTAAAATTGGAGTTCATTGGAATTAATTAACAATTTTTAGAATCGAAATCCAAAAGGGCGTTTGGCACCGAATCTCATTTCTCCTTTCTATTGAACACAAAAATATGTACTAAAACTAAAGGTAACATCATTTTTAAAATAAATCCTAATGAACTCCTCTTTATCCTTAAGTTCGTCTTTACATGCCATTAAAATATTAATGTAACTTAAAACATTTGATGTTGCTCTCGTGTATTTGAATTATTAATAAAGATTGATGTGATTAATGCGCATTTTATTTATACATGATTGCGAATGTACATACTTGAAGGTTGCTGGTGCTAGCCCCGCGTTAGATATTCAAGCTGACATAATGCGTAGCATCGTCCATTGAAGACAGTACTCAAGGTTCACCTGACATTCAGATACAGTCAGATCGTATAATAAGTGGACTAGTGCTATAAGCTGATGATGAGAGATTAATGTCGTACAAATAAATGAGAGTGAAACGTGGATATGTGGAAATGGTATTAAATTCTTATTCACTCGAAGGAAGACCTCTCTATATTTCTCGAAACGAAGTCTATTCTTAACGTTCTATTTAAAGCTTACAATATATACAAATCTCTTAAAATAATACATTTATTAGATTTTTTTTCGAATATGCTTAAAAAATGTTGGCCCGGTGTCTACTGTCGTTTAACCTTTGATCTGGGCATGAATTCGTGCGCCTTCGATTTGCCTCCTATCGCAGTCAGTGTTAATGTCACTGTCTTTGTACAATACGTGAATTATCTTACCTCTCGTTTAAATTATTTCAAACAACTTTTTAACGGAGGGCTTCTGTTAGTCACAGACATCTGCAATACCCTGTACTCATGCCGTAGGACATATCGCATCCAACCAAATCAGACAGGTGAACCAAATGCTCATCTGTCTTCTTTGGAAAAATAGCTCTTGTTAGATTGCAATGCTCTGAGGCGCGCACAGCGAATAGCCTTTTATGCTTTTCTTTCTCAAGTTTCAAAACAATACATTTGGTACGTCCATTCCCCGCTTACCTTCGCAGGTATATTCACGATGATCATAAGCACCGAGCTTCGAATGCGGTATTTGGAATCGCGATATCGAAAAATGAAAGGTAAATATGTATTAAGCACAGTAAATCATTTTGTAACGATGGATTTTTAAAACTGTATTTCCTTTTCAGGTCATATATAAATATTTCTCCATCTATTCTACGGACCGCAATAGTAGCGGCTGGTGGATGTGAACAATGGATTACTTGTCACAAATCGTAGAGTAAGCGAGACGACAAATCGTCTTCTCGCATTAAAACTGTATAATCTCAAAACTTACTAATTTTACAGGAGAGTGTTTTAAAGCTTTAACATGTGATATTTTTAATATTCTATTCTAATCTTTGGCACATTTATTTTTTAACAGTTACATTATCTGTCTTTTAAAGTAAGATAAAATTATATATTAATTTTGTCAATAGTACTCAAAATATAGGTATACTAAAAAAAAAACTAAAACTAAACTACGCTCTTTTGATTGTATTTATGAGAAAAATACTGGTGATAACAAATAATTCCGCATATTAACTCAATTTCGAATATTTTTTGGAAATTGTACACTTTTAATGCGAAAAAACGAAATATAGGCAAACCTACTTTTGAACGTCACACAGGTTTTTGGTGAAAATGAAGTACATACCCAAACCCGTATTTTTCAAATTGAGATTATTCCAGCTCTTGGCTCTAGTGCAGTACTGTTCGCTAAGACAGTCAGGCCAATACAGTTCCTTCCATGTGGGTCGTTATATAGGTAGTGTTTAATGATTTGGGAGACATAGAAACCTTGGACTTGCCCGTTCACTGCGGTGCCCTTTGTCTTGACACTCGATTCGAAACAGTAAATGGGAAGAAGCTTGGGACATTTATATTTGTTTTGAAAAAAGAATTAAGTCTGATTTGATACTCTGAGGTAAAAATTACCTAGATTTGAAGATTTTCTTGAATGATCTTCGGGGGGTGAGAAATTGAAAGCTTTCTACTATGTTATGGAACTGTCAGTGAAAATTCAGCATTACGTCCATTCTGGAACTCTCTCTCTTTTTCTCCACCTTATCCCACTAGGTGGGGTCGGCACAGCTAATTTTTCTCTTCCATTCTCTTCTATCAGCCGTCATCTCAACACACACTCCTCTCTCTCTCTCATATCGTCATTCACACACTCCATCCATGTCTTCTTCGGTTGACCTCTTCCCCCTCTACCTTGCACTTCCATTTCCATACAACTCCTAGTCACATGCATCTTATCTCTACGCATCACATGTCCATACCACGCTAACCGTCCGCTCCTTAACTTGTTGCTTATCGGAGCCACTTTCACACTTCCTCTGATATACTCATTCTTTATCTTATCCATTCCATTCTGGAACATGACCAACAATTGTTCATATTCCCGTTTCAATGAAATTTTGTCGTTCTGTAAAATTTAGAAAACTTCAAAGATTCCTAGGTGATCCTGAATTCCGAATTTCATCGGAGTTTGATAACGTTTTCTCTCGTTCATTGAATTGTATTTACTTCAGTTTCAATAAGCGTTATTATTATTATTATTATTGAATACAAATCATTATTTTTCAAAAACTATATGTCTCCATAAGCTTATGTTATTAAATGTTAGAATAAATAAATATAATATAAATACTGCTTTGATTTCTTTTATATGACTAATGCTATGTTTTATATTCGAGAATAAAATCCATGTATAAGAATAAAATTATTAAAGTAATAACAAAATCGTTCATTTATGATTTTATCTTATTTAAATACCAAAACTGAATCGATTTTGGGGCGAAACAAAAATATCGACTTCTGAATTTAGACGACGTAGAAAAGAAATTGAATTTTGTATTATTTGAATATAAGAGCTATTAGTTCTAAAAGCAAACGAGAATATTTCGACAAACGTAAATTGATAGATTGAAGATGGAATATAGCTTTGGGGTTTTGTAAAGACACTACCGTTCTCAATAAGCACATCAATGACTTTGAAGACGTTAGATGAAATAAAATATTTTGGCATTCCATGAAAAGTAAAACGGGAAGGTTCTAAATCTAACACATTACTGGTGGTGGTAAGGAATAACATCGTGTAATAAAAATCACACCCGCAAAATTATAATTTGCGTAACTACTGGTGGTAGGACCTCTTGTGAGTCTGCACGGGTAGGTACCACCACCCTGCCTATTTCTACCGTGAAGCAGTAATGCGTTTCGGTTTGAAGGGTGGGGCAGCTGTTGTAGCTATACTGAGAACTTGGAACGTATATCTCAAGGTGGGTGGTGAATTTACGTTGTAGATGTCTATGGGCTCCAGTTACCACTTAACACCAAGTAACCATCTAAGCAAAAAAAAACAATAAAAAAAACATACAAAAATTGCATTACAAATAGATAATGATAATAATAGTAATATGTAAGTGTTGTGTGATTTTAATTAAGCTTGTTTCTTTATAAACACGTTGTAAATGTGATTTGATAAATAATACGTACATACAGTTACTTTTCTCGCTAATTAGTCGTAAGCCTCATTGAAGAAAGACGTACCGATATGGGGAAAACAATCCATAGAAATTTAATATACTGTTTTTGTGCTAGAAACTTAAAATTCATGTCTCAAGATGGGTGGTGATATCTAAGTTGTTGATCTCTATAGGCTCCGATAACCTCTTAAGATCAGATGGGCCGTGCGCTCGTTCACCTGTTTAAGCAATAAAAACGCATCGCTGAATTCGATTTGCAAATCGATCCAGGGGTGCCCAGAGAGCTAACGGTACTCTACATACGAACTCACATTTTAATTATACACTATATATAGTCATATAGCTAATTTCGAAAATTGTTTTTTTTATTTTTTTATTTTGACTAAATATTTTTAAAAAAATACCGACACTTTTTATTATATAAAGCCTTCAAACAACAGCCAGAATCATAATGTTATCATAATCTTGAAAATATTCATCACTTATAGTTCTTTTTATTCTAGTATTTCCGATATAACACGTTATCTTTTTCCATTTAGCAATCAGTATCAAAGACAGATCACCACATAGTATAAAACAAAGTCGCTTTCTCTGTCCCTATATCTGTCCCTATGTATGCTTAAACCTTTAAAACTACGCAACGGATTTTGATGTGTTTTTTTTTATAGATAGAATTATTGAAGAGGAAGGTTTATATGTATAATAACATCCATTAAATAGTGGAGAAAAACTGTTATTTTTGAGGTTTCTAATGTGATGTCGTAAATAATCTATGTATATAAAAATGAATTGCTGTTCGTTAGTCTCGCTAAAATTCGATAACGGCTGGACCGATTTGGCTAATTTTGATCTTGAATTATTTGTGGAAGTCCAGAGAAGGTTTAAAAGGTATATAAATATGAAAATGCTCAGAATTAAATAAAAATAACAATTTTGTTTTTACTTTGATGTCTCCCCCGTCGGACGGATTCCTTTTGTTTGTTTTAAGTTTACTTTATACAAACGTTTAGGTCTTTTATTTATCGGTTGAGGCACTACGAGGTCTGCCGGGTCAGCTAGTCAATAATAAAATTTCATGTTTCCGAAGCGAAGCCAGGGCGGGTCGCTAGTTTTGTATAATACAATGTAATAAAAGATTAATAAACTAGTAGTAAACTTTATTTAATATCGCGGGATGTGTTACATTCACAATTGCTTCTAATCACTACATTGTACGCAATAATACTTCGTTCTACAGGGTCACACTTTGTGTTGCCAGGGTATACAGATCCTTCGCGTAGTAAGGTGTGGCAAGGAAAACATTTGTCCAACAAAACAGAATAGGGACACAAATATATTCAAGTTGGATTGTGATTTTTTAATTGCTTGCCCAACCTAAGCCAGCAAAGTCTGAAGGAAAACACAACAAAAAAAAAACTTAACTTGTCATAATTCGAGTTACGAATATAACAATATATAAAAAAAAACAATTAAATAAAATGCACAGATAACTAAAAACGAATTGTTTCGATTCACACATTCGCCGTTTCCTCTACGACCTGTAATAAATATTATATTTGTAAATTTTTAAATTATTTAAGTCCCTAAGCACTCGCATAGCGCACAAAATTCGCAAAGCCTACATTTTAAATGGGTACCCATGTTCGCTGAAGCCAGAATAATAAATATATAATTGCAAATTGGATAAATAATAAATTTGATAAACTATTCGACCAATTCAACCAGTCAACGAATTACATTTTAAAATTACACATAATAAAAAATAAGTACTTAAAATTTTTGATACATTTTTTTGTTAATAACCCTACACCTAATTGAATTAAAATAAATCGTATCAGTAGGTAGTAAGGTGCTCGGCCGAGCTGATATATCTACTAACCCACGTCGTTTCTTCGCTTCAGTCTTGCCTCGGAGTGGAGGGTCGTCTCCGGTACGAGAGACACTTCCTTGGCGATGCGCTGTATGCTCTCAATCCTCCATAAAACTTCCCAGACCTGGTGATCACCTCGAGTCTCGCAGACGCCTCGGCCCTACCGAGCTCGTTCTCAACAGTTATCCGATAAATTCCGACATCTTCTATCGAAACCTCATCGATTTCTAAAATTCTCATTATTTCCTCCTTCTCCTTGACAGTTATTCTCGCTGAAGGCGTGATTATGGAGCCGTCCTTGTCCCATGAGGCCCAGGGCGAAGGGTTCCCTTTGACGGCGCACTTGAAGGTCACGTTTTCGCCCTCCTCCACCACTTTGTTGAAGGGATAAGTGTAGAAAGTCGGAGCCATTTGACGGCCTGGACTGGAAAGACGCCGTGTGTCTGGACCTTAAATATATAAAACAAACTCATTGCCTAATACCGTAAATTCAGTTCATTGCAATTTCCAAATAAGCGATAAACTGCTTATAGTTTATAAACTGACACACAATTAGATTAGCCACATATGACGTCATACGTTGTGATTGGTGTTTAACTTAATATGAAAAAATGCTAGAATCAATTTAGAGATTTAAAATACAAATCACTAATATTACACTAAAACTGCGATTGATTTTGTTTCAAGTTCATTAAGGACCGTTGTAAATTTAATTGATTTTATTTTATTTAACGTATCATAAAGAGTAGAGCTGTTGGGAGGAGTGGCTTTTGTAACTCCGTGATCATCACCTACATGACATTAGCTGTTTATAATAAACTAGCTGTACCCGTCCGCTTCGCTGGGCATATAAAATTAACATTATTATTTCTCAACCCCACAAATATTCTCATCATTAACGCCCCCGCAACTGGTGTAGAGAGTCCAACACTCATATAAATATTAGTATATCCATTAAGTACATGTATTTTCTACATAGATACCAAGTTTCAAGTCAATCGGATGCATGGTTCAGTAGATATAACAGAACATCCGTAAAAACCACTGTAGTTTTATATATTAGTATAGATTGAACTGGACAAAGTTTACCTGGCGTCCGGGTCCTGGAGACTGATCTGGCCGGTGTACTGCGCGGCGTGGATCGAGGAGTAGAGGCAGCTGAGAGCAGCGCTGGCGGACGACGGAGTCGCTGGCACAACGTATTCGGCTCACCAGGTGCTGGAAATGGAAAGCTTTTACTGCTACTACTACTGACTACTACTACTGATTTTATCACTTAGGTATTGGATTTACTGAACACAGCCAGTAAACTAGGTTGGGTTTTTTTATTGCTTGTATGGGTGGACGAGCTCACAGCCCACCTGGTGGTCAATGGTTACTGGAGCCCATAGACATCTACAAGGTAAATGCGTCACTCATCTTGAAATATAAGTTCTAACTGGTTCAAATCGAAACGTATTACTACTTCACGGCAGAAATAGGCAGGGTGGTGGTACCTACCTGTGCGAACTCACAAGAGGTCCTGCCACCAGTAAAATAAATAGGTACATATATAAGTACAATCCGTCACAAGTATTTATAATACTAGGTAATCAGGTAGTACTAGGTATATCTTTATTTTGTACCTCCCTACTTCTCGTCTCCTATTTTAATTCAAATTAGAAACAGAATAATAAGTTCACGAAACTCACGATAAACAACGAGACAGGCATTCGACTTCGCCTTGCCGAGGCAGTTGGAAGCCTCACACGTGTAGGTGCCTTCATCTTCGGCAGTAACTTGTTTGATCTTCAACCTCGCTGTACCGTCGTCGTACGAAGACTCGAAGTCAGCGCAATCCCTAATCACCTAAAAATTGTGATTGAGATTCGTTTTATTGTCTTCGATGATCATGTACCTACCGGATTTTAGAGGAATGAAGCATCGATCGCCTAAAAAGTAAATTGCCGGGTGTGCTGATGTAAAACAAAACAACAATTATAGGGTTTTGACACGTATAGTTTTTTTCCGTATAGTAAAGAAAAAAAACCTATAGCTTCTTTAACTATACACGCACGGTTCCACAGGTTTTCATAAAAGCTGTCGATCATGAAGGAATAAAACAAGATGTTTAAAATTCAACCATAACGGTAGGCAGAGACTTGGCTCTGCCCTTTACATTGCTGAAGTCTATGTGCGACGGTCACCATCAGGTGGGCCGTATGATCGTCTGCCTACAAGGACAATAAAAAAAAAAAAAACATAATTAATAGAACTACAGAGACATAGAAATATAATACATAGTCTGAATTTCTTCATTCCACTGTTATGTAATTTGAGTCTCACCTCAGCATAATGGAACCATCTAATATCCGGCTCGGGGTTGCCAGTAACTTGACATTCGAACTCTACTGTATCGCCATCGCAAGACAACATGTCGGTCAGGTTTCGTTCGAATCTTGGTAACACTTCGACTCGCCTGCACACAAATATAACTTCGTTAGTAATACTATTAAGCTTACCTCTAAAGCGGAAGAAGTGATAAAGAACTCAGAGTTTGATCTCTAATATTATGCTTTATTAGCTTGATAGATGTATTTATGTATGTATAGTTTATATCTAACAGAATCTTTATATGTAACGCTTTTTTTACAATAAAATCATTTTTTCTTACACTATTTTAAATTCAAATTTATTTACATATATTTATTTTCTATTTTTTAGTTGGATTTTCTATAAAAGCGTATTTTGTTAGTTTTTTTAAACTATTATTTATTTTTCATTTTTTTTAAATTAAATATCAATTTTTTTTTTTTTTTTTTTTTTAATATTGTACTAACTTCGGTCCTTAATAAGTATATCAAATTTTGAGTTAATCCGACGTTTTGAAGGGGGTCAAAATCATGTTCAAAGATTCCGTATTAATAAAAAGAAGCTTTACTGAAGTAAGTCCCGTCATTTTACTGGGACATTATTTCATTTCATCACATTTCATTACATTGGATTTCACTCAATTACACATTCAAATAAATTAACTTTAATACAGATCTATTTAATTTTTCAAATATCAAAATCAAAGTACATGTTAAATACAGTTATAATTAAATTATAACCGTTTTATTGTTGTTATTAAGAATATAATATTTATTTGTTAGCTTTTTTTATAAGCGCTTTTAGCGATAAGACCGCCTGTTGTACCTAAGCACATGTATTAAATAGTCTGTTAGTCTGATGACCGCGGTATAGCGGATCCTAGTTTGGAGACCGATGTGATGTCTGTGGTTTGTTGGACATCGCGGCTGCCAACACGGAAATATTCACGACAAATCCAGAAACACGCAAACATTGTCCTAAAATTAGCATTTGCATTCAAATAAATAACAAGCATATAATCCGCTTAGTGCTTTTAATTGAATAAAGAAGTGTAAAATTGGGAGCGTGACACATAAAATAAAATTATTGTAATGTTGCACTTTTATTCTTTTTTTTTATAAAATCTTCTATAATGTAATAATAAAAAATTAATTTACACTTTTTTTACGCCTTGCTCATTTAACCGTCTTCGCGATCTTTCTTTCCTCTGTCATTCTGTTTGTCATTCTCTTTTCCTTTTCTTGCCGTTTTCTCCAACCCACATCTTAAAGCTCCGTTCCACAGTCTTTTCATACGTTCCGTTCTTACTCATTCTACAGAAGTTATAATACAATGTACACGCGCACTTACCCATATCTGATGTGATGTGCTTCTTCTGTCGAACTTATATCTGGAATAAGAATAACGTAAGAATGTTATTAGTTCTGTTACAATAGTTACAATATCTTGACAAGGTTCTATGCCCGAAGTGACTTTAACAGACATTTAAGATGTATATGAACATTAAAAGCATCCGTAAATCAAATTAATTGTAGTAAAATAATTTTGGTGACTCGCAATTTTTTTATAGTACCTAATCCTGTCTTTTGAGAAACATAGGGCACGTGCAATACGTTAAAGCGTTAAGGATAAAAAATCACAATTAAAAACTTGCATGTCCCTTACGGAATAATAAATAATAATAATAAATATTTACTAACAATCACACCACGTTAACTAGTCCCGTGATAAGTTCGTAAAGAATTTGTGTTACAGGTACCATATAACGGAAATAAATGTAAGATTTTTATTATACACATACATATATTTAAGATACATCCATAACCCTGGAAAAGACATTTATATTTATCATACAAATACCTTCCCTTGGCGGGATTCGAACCCGCGACCCCCTTGTGTAGTGACCATGTCACTTACCACTACACCAGACGGCCGGAATATACGGATGGACAATGTGTTAAGGCATTAGAGATAAAAAAAAAACACAACATTAATTCAAAAGCTTGCTTTTTTTTGATTGATAACAATAATTCACCTTTAACTTTGATCTGAAGGGAGATGACCGCTTTGGCTTCTCCGTGGATGTTTCTCGCCACCACAGAGTAGGCTCCGGTATAGTTCAATTTCGCGTGAGGTATCTCAAATCTGTACTCCGGCCCTTCTCCGACGCGTTTGAAATGAGTCGCGTCACGGTAGTAATCCGGCTGGAATATGATTTACAAATATAATAAATAATATTATCAATATTGTCGTCCATAATTATTATAAAATATTTTTTTGTGTATCTCAGGAACGTGGACAAGATAGGACTATCATAACAAATTACATTATTATTTTAGCAACGTTTCGGTCTTTTATTAGACCTTCATCAGGCATCTGAAAATTACATATAATTGATAACCTACAATACAAAAAACAACGATTGTCGAAACTACCATATTTACCATAATATGAATTTAAATAATCACTATCTTACACTGCACAATTGTCTTAGACATCAGAAACTAATACAAATCTACAAAGCCGCTAAATTAGTTAATTACTATTTTTGATTCTGGAAACATTATAATAATATATTAATATAATAAAACATTATAATAAATAATAATAATAATATTTATTCAAGCCTATTAAGATACAAACACGTACAAAAATTCTTTTTTTTTTATTGCCCTTGTAGGCAGACGAGCATACGGCCCACCTGATGTGAGTGGTTACCGTCGCCCATGGACTTCAGCAATTCCAGGGGCAGAGCCAAACCGCTGCCTACCGCTAGTGTAAGACTAGTGTAATAATATACATGGCTTTTTTATGAGGTATACAATAACAATATTCCCTGACTTTTATGCTCGGAAAACCTGTGTTACAAAAATCAGTGGTTCAGTGCTAGGTCACCAGTTAAAGTAAGTTAAGCAGGAAGAGCGATCTGTAAGAATATAGTACGTACGTGTGAGTGTGAGTATGTGTGTGTTGTGATTATATTAAGCCTTCGTCAAACAGAACGCGTAATTAGCGTGCGTCAGAGCGCTAAACTGACGCCGCGCTATGACGCCGAGATGTGTTGTACTACTATGATAACATACCGTCAAACAGAGCTCCAGCTATGTAAGTACGCAACGCTCTGTCGCGGCGTTAGGACGCTTTGACGTCAGGCGTTGTAATTTTTTACAAATTTTATTTTAGCGTCCAAGTGAATGTGTATTGAAATACTAGATAATGCTCGAAAAAATTATATAAATAGTTAGAAAATACCCATGCTTATACAATGCCACATCTGAATCACTCGATTTCTTAAGACTTTTAAATTTTCACACTGCTATTGAAAGGCACTATGATTTGGCGAATGCGTTGCGTCAAGGAGCGTTAGACTCATCTAGTCAATTTGAAGAGCGCGACGTTAAGTACGCGTTCTGTTTGACGAAGGCTTTACGTGTGTGTTTTACACGCTCCACCGTTCATATAAATACGAGTATAAGTCAATCCTGTGTGCAATTTGCAGCTTAGTTTGCATTTTGCATCATTATGCAAATCCTTTCATTTGCAAGTTTTTTTCTCTCGGCAACAGTATTAATTTCCGAGAGGTTTTTTTCATATACACAACATGAATACGCAAAGATTAAAAATAACATTTATATCATTTGTTTGTCAAACCAGTTTCTTTTGTTTAATAAATATATTTTTTGGGTATAGTGTATTTTTGAAGGCAATTCAGGTAAATACTTAAAATTATAATTTGCGTATTTACTGGTGGTAGGACCTCTTGTGAGTCCGCGCGGGTAGGTACCACCGCACTGCCTATTTCTGCCGTGAAGCAGTAATGCGTTTCGGTTTGAAGAGTGGGGCAGCCGTTGTAACTATACTGAGACCGTACAACTTATATGTCAAGGTGGGTGGTGGATTTACGTTGGTATGGTATGGTTGGTTGGTATGGGCTCCAGTAACCACTAACACCAAGTGGGCTGTGAGTTCGTCCACCCATAAAAGCAATAAATAAAAAAACGAATTTCTTCACTAAGTCACAACCAATAGTTTTATTATTACTTTTGTAATTATGTATCGATAAGCTTTCGTATTCAAGAGATTACTTCGGAATAATCTGATTTCGTTTCAAAATGTCAATAATAAAACAGAGAACTAAATGAAAAACATACAATAACTATAAATCTTTATGCAAAAGTCAATACGGTTGAATTTCGATAATCAGCCTTCTAATATAAATGTCATATTAAAAGAAATGATATAAGCAAGGGTCGCCATAAGTCCCTGATTAGGCGTGAACTAGTCAAATCAAAATATTCTTACTTTCAAGAAGTCCCTGAGCCAATACACGTCGGGCTTCGGATCTCCAACCACTTCGCACTCAATGATGACCGTGTCACCCTCGCGAGCCTCACTGGATCTCGGCTTCCGGATGAACATTGGTTCTTTTGAATATCTGATTAGCAAAATTGAAAATAAACTATGACTAGCAGACACAAATTTCTCATTTCGCCATACGTATTATAATTTTATAGTGTAAGTGATGTATAAAATAATATGTGCGTATTGTGTTGCTTTTGTTTTTTTGTAACTTAAATTTCTAAATTTTTCCTCTCTGTTTACTTTCTACCTATATGTAATTTTGATTGTGGAAACATATTTGGTTATTGTTTTAGCATTTTTTTTAAATATTATATGTTTATATTGTAGTGTTTGTTTCTCAAATAAATAAATAAAAAACCATGCGTCGCTGGAATACACTAAGAGTGAATACGTAGGAGAACAAAAAGTCACTTTTTAGCATGAAATTTCGTACATAGACTAAGTTTTATATGAAGACTAGCTGTACCCGTCCGCTTCGCTGGGCATATAAAATTAACATTATTATTTCTCACCCCCACAAAGATTCTCATCATTAACGCCCCCGCAACTGGTGTAGGGAGTCCAACACTCATATAAATATAAGCCTATACATTAAGTACATGTATTTTCTATATGGATACCAAGTTTCAAGTCAATCGGATGCATGGTTCAGTAGTTATAACGGAACATCCGTAAAAGCCACTGTAGATTTATATTTTGAAACTCAAATACTCACGGCACATCAGGGCTGATAACGACAGGAGGTCTTCTTTGTTCGGACGTCTGATCTGTCCCAATAACTTCAACCTTCCCAGAAGTCGAAGCTCTGCCGACCTCATTGGACGCGGTACACGTGTAGACTCCAGCGTCTCTCGGGGTCACGGCTGCTAAAGCCAGTTCTATCTGTCCGTCTCTGTCCAAGGTCATGATTGCTCGTCTACTGGGTCTCAGACGTACTCCGTCACGATACCAGGTAACACCCACCGAGGGGTATGCCTCTACTACAGCTGAGATTCGGAGTTCATCGCCTTAAAAATATGATTATTTTTATGAATATACATTTTGCATTTAGTAAACAAAGGCCAAACAAGGTTTACCATTAACACAATAAATGGGTAAATAGTCTAGAAAAAATTAGGTGGGAGGTTTTGTAAAATTATATAGGACGAGGTAAATTAGGACGTCCAGAGGCCGGCCCGGTTTCACCAGGACAGGAAGTCAACTACGGACTCAGCCAGGAGAGAAAAAAGAGGTGTCAAAATTATTATTGAAGAAGTTTATCGTCGTTTGTCGAAGGCGTCTCACCTTCGTGTAGCTTGTACAACGGCTCCAAGCCGCAACAGAACTCGGGAGCCACGTACGCTCTGATGCCCTTGTCCACGACTAGTCCACAATGACAGCTGACAGCTCCACTGTTGTTCCTAGCCGTCACTTCGTACACGCCCCCGTCATCGAGGTTCGTCGGTGCAATCTCGAGCGTGTGGAACTGCTCGTCTTGGTATTTATTGCGGCGTTCTGCATTTTATTTAAAAAAACAATTGGTTGTCTGTAAAGTCGGTATGCGGACGATTGTTTTACGTGATAACGTCAGTAGCAGAACTATTCGAACTGCTAGCTCTGACGTCACGGGAGAAGAGAGATAAATTTGTCACAAGCCAATGTTTGGGCCGACCGTGCCCCTCTATCGCTTGCACGTTCAGACGGAACGTGACACTTTTTCATGTATGCAGCCGATGTTCATCGATTTCTAAGACGCTATCATATCAAAAAGACGCCGAAAAAATATATACTATTTAACTTTCCAATTACTAGATTACTAATACTAATAAAAGTATAATAATTAAAATATACTACTAATATTGATCAGTCTATAATGTTTAACACTTTGAGCGCCAGAATATAAACTATGTCTATGTATGTATGACACCTGTTACCGTCCATAAGTCAGGTGTGTCTGCCATTTAACATTTCTCGGAAAATAATGAGTAGCGAGTAGCCGCTGTTTCCGTAAATCAACCATTATTTTCTTGTTATTTCTCGACAATATTTGCGAAACAGACTTTCAATGGTTTTTGGACTCTTCTTGATTACTTGCTACAGCCTTAGGAGAAGAATGCCGTGGACACGTCATGTCTGTCATGGCGTTCAACGCGTTAACAAAAATCACTGTTCTAGAACATCGACAATAAGAACAGCCTTAACTAATATTCAGTTCTCACGACATTACGGATACTACACGTAACTGAATAGGACAACAGACATTACTTACTGTCGTACACCACTTCCTCTCCATCTTTGTACCAGGAGACTTTGGGTGGTGGACTGCCTATGACTTGGCAAGTGAGTCGCACTGGATACGTTGCTTGCACTCTACGGTCTCTCAAACGCATCGTGAACTGCGGTGGGTAATCTCCTTCTACTTCAGCAGATCTCTCTCTGTCCGAAAATAATTCATGTAAATGGAGATATAAAAATTTCAATACAAACGATTTGAAATGATAAACGTACTCCATTTACTGGTTAAGAGTGGCTTTCAAATCACCACTCCGTAATCTAAGTGGATATCCGTGAATATCAATATGAGTAAATTTATTTTATTAAAGTTATTGTTCACATAATTACCTAATCCGATAGATATTAACTAACTGTAATAACTCTGCGATAATAAGATAAAACGAGCATCTTGAAACATAATTATATTCTGGTAACATTTAGAAATCACATACATGTGATAATTGGGGCGGTCAGCGCAAAAGTGGTCTAACCCACAATACATATTCGTGCTTTATGTATTGCAATTTATTTAAAACATAATAAATTTTGATGCAAAATCGGCCTATCCCTAGTTTCATCCGTAGATAACAGATCAGTTTGTAAACATAATTTTAGCGCGTATTGTTTTTGCCTACGAAGTATTGTAAAGGTAAATTCGAACTTCATTATCTCCATACTAGCTATGGTAAGCTTCAGCCACTTTTGGGCTGACAGCCTCAATTAGCACAAAAGTCAATCAAGACAAAAGTGGGTTTTTATTAGAATACCTTTTGAGTTTCGCATCTGCTTCCCAGACAGTTCTGTCGGTGACGACCGCCAACCTTGCGTAAGTAGAAGCCTTGCCGTGTGTGTTAGTCGCCTCACAGCTATACCGACCCTCATCGTCGATGTTAATATCTTTAATGGTGAGGCAACAATCGAATCCGTTGAATTGTGACGTCATTCGTCCGGCTTCCTCCTCGACCTCATGACCGTTCTTCATCCACACCACACCTGGCACCGGCTTGCCTTTCACGCTACAGGTCAAGTTCGCCGTTTCTCCTGCCAAAATCTTTAGCTGCCCAGGCAGTATGTCAACGAACTCCGGTCTGTCCCCGGCCAGACCGACGCCGATCGATGAAGAGGTCTGCGAAGATTCACCCCAACCGTAACGATTTCTCGGAGTCACTCTGAAGTGGTATTCTTCGCCTTGTTTTAAGTTAAATGCGTCGAATGAGTTCAGTGGTGTGATGCCAAGTTCAACCCAACGCGCTCCTCCTTCCGCGCCGATCAACCAACTCTCTACTTTGTACGCTAACACTGGAGCTGTTGTCTGGGGGTCGGGCTTGGGCCAAGCGAGAGACACCCAGTTGTTTCCTCCGTCGACGACGCACGGCTCTCCCGGGATGCGCTCGGGCACAGCTAAAATAAATGCTGACATTTATCATGAACGCGACAATGGCCTTAAAAGACATTGTTGTATCACTGCCAGCCATTGTTGCCAGAACGGATTGATTCGGATGTCGGTCGACATCTCTCTTCAATATATGATTAATTGAATTATAAAAAAATATAAGTTAGCAGTATAAATGAACGGTTTTAAAGCGTCTTTTAATATTTACGTAAATTAACGTACTTTTAATATTTGCCTAATTACTGATGCTAGGACCTCTTGCGAGTCCGCGCGGGTAGGTACCATCACCCTGCCTATTTCTGCCGTGAAGCAGTGATGCGTTTCGGTTTGAAGGGTGGGGCAGCCGTTGTAACTATACTTGAGACTTTAGAACTTATATCTCAAGGTGGGTGGCGCATTTACGTTCGTAGATGTCTATGGTAGTAGCCACTAATACCAGCTGTGAGCTCGTCCATTCATCTAAGCAATAAAAAAATATATATTTAAAACTGATAATTCATAATAATAATAAAATATAAATAATTAAATCTATACCTACATTTATACTTGCGATCGGCAATAGACAATGCGGAATCATCGAGTGGGTAAGTCCAGTCGGAAATTAAATGTTCAGAAGAGGCCCGTTGTCTCACCTTAAATTTTAAGGAAAAGTAAAATTTACTGTTTATCTTACAATAACGTAATTTATTTTGATTCGCATGTTACGTAAAAAAATGTGTGTTTATAATATTAATATTGATTTGCTTATTATTATGTGTGTTTATAATATTGATTTGCTATTAGACTACTAGCATGGATGTCATATGATTAGATTGTAACTAGAGATGTCCTAAATCGCAACGTACTTATTATCATACGTCTATTGGTTTGTTACTCAATTTAAATTGTTTATTCTTATTTATGTGTAAAGAAGCAAAATTATTATTACGTTACATTGTGTATTTGTATGTACTAGAGGTCTCGCAGTAGTCGAAATTCGACTAAAATTAATTGGAATTGTAAGTTTGTACACTATTATGATTGTATTTTATACTTCTATAATCACAAATTTCGCCAAGACAACACTATAAAAATATTAAGAAAGACAAACAATATTTAATTTATTCTCAATTTGACAACATACGTCAAGAACAAAAGTTTGACAATAAATAGTATGCACGCGTGTGTGCGTCAAATACATGGTATGTAGTGTGTGTAATGTTTTCTTTATTGATTTAATGTATTTTTCATGCATTATTTCAAAAAAATATTAGTATTGTGCACTCCTTCTCTATATTCTCTATAAGTGTGGAAAATTTCATACTCCTTCGTCCGCGCAATTTTCGTAAAAAGGGATACAAAGGTTTTGCTTCACGTATTCATTTGTATGTATATTTATAAAAGTATATATGTGAGGAATTGTGTATGTATTTATGTGTGTGTGTGTGTGTGTGTGTATACATATATAATAATATATTTCAATTGATTGGTACACCGCGTGTTATTAGTTTCCGAACGATTCTTTTCCACCTGATGGTTGTCTGGAAGAGATCGCTCTTAGCGATAAGACCGCCAATTTTTTTTTTGTAATGAATGCTTCGCATTGTTTCTTTTGTTGGTGTATACAATAAAGAATACTCTCTACTCTCTAAATTGTGTATTATTCACTTACTAAGTTATTGTATAGTTCTAAGACTGAAAGCTTACCACAACAGTAACGAAAGCTCTGTCACATCCATATGCATTTCTGACCAAAATGCAATAAGTGCCAGCATCCGACACAACAGACCTTTTTAGAGTGAACTTTACGTAGTCGTCCGAAGTCATTTTACAGACACGTTGACTGTTAGTTATATCCCTTATTCCCTTCATAAATATCACTGTGAATAAAATACATATTATTACTTAATATTGGACGACTCTTAGTATTTTAAAAATATCGATTATCATGCCAGATCCCCGGTAGCCTACGTGGCGTACTGAAATAACTATAATAATAATGTCTGTTTCAGATTAATGCATCTGTCTGGATTCCCTGACTATGCGTTACTTTGTTTTTAATGTACGTTTTAGTTTTGGAACGAAGTTCCTTATGGGACGATGCTTTTTTCGATGACGAAGATTTTTATTAGTAATGCACACAGTGTACGACTTAACTTTGTAATAACGTACAAATTAGTAATGCACACAGTGTACGACTTGACTTTGTAATAACGTACAAAAAATAACATATTTTTTATTATTCATTGATCACGATCTCAGAGCGTTCGTTTGCGCAATACATTAACTCTTATGCAAACAACCGTGAACGAAGTGTACCACAATAAGTTCGTACGTTACCGAATGACCCTGAGTTGTTGCGAAACCTCCAGTTTTATTTTCTTTATACCTCGAATAGAACTTAAAATTAATGTTTTCATAATAAGGAACTTTGTTCCTATCCGGTGTCCCACGACACCAGACATCTTTTTTTTGGGTCTCTTACAAAGATATTAATTCCCTATATTTTCGGATCGTCTTGGGCGCCTTAATAAATCGAAGATCAATAGAAGATCGAAGAGAAATATCGACAATTACTTCAGTGGCCACGTAGAGCATCGGTGACTTGCATGGCTATCAACGCGTTTAGTAGAAGATTGACATTTTTTTAATTAACATAGTTACCTTTTGGCTTAGGTTCGCCTTGCGTTCTGAAGGAAATGTTAATGTCTTCACCTACAGATATGAGAATGTCTTTTTCTGGTCTACCAACAATAACAGCTGGTTTGCCATCAAGGTCGCTCGGCTGAACGACTGTTATAGCCGCATTCATGTCCACGTTCCCGTGAGCGCTCCAGGCTCTACACGTGTATAAGCCTGATTCTGTTTCAGTGACGTCAGAGAGAGCCAATGTATAAAGCCCTTGTTCAACAAAAGCTCTAGCGTTCCTGTATACTTCGGTCACGGATCTACCTTCTCTAAGCCATTCCACTCGGGTCGGGCACCCACGTATTTCAACTTGCAGCCCAATAGTACCTCCTCTAGCTACTTGATAGTCCGTCAAAACGTTGCCGAAATGAGGACGTCGCGACTCTAGCGATTGACGTGCAATTCTAGTTTTTTCAGCTGTTACCACATTAGGACTTACTTGACTTTCCCTTCCTGTTATAGAAAAAAATAATGAAGTAGTCATAAATAACATTAAATATTCAAACAACTCGTTTAGCATATCATTTACCGGTAAAGTTGACAAAATGTGTTATTTGATCAGTCCACACCGAATTCTCAGCTTTGCACGTATATGTTCCGCTATCTTCAGGAGTTGGATTATCTATTGCGAGTCTGCACACGCCATCAGCGAGATAGAAAGCTTGATAACGTCCGTCAGAAGGTATTTGTTTATCGTCTTTAAACCACGTTATTTTTGGGAGAGGTTGACCTCGAATTCGACACTCCAGTACTAATTCGTTTTCCGCAAGATGAAAAGTATCTGCATTGAAAGTAAAAGAAAAAAATTAATACAAAATAAAAATCGACGATCTTATTTAATAACAAAAAATGAATACTCATTACCACGAATGGATCGTGTAAACGTAGGTGGAATGGGAGATGCTTCAAAACTTGGATACACCTTTAAATTGGCAGATGTAGAGATGGCTCCATTTTCATTTTCAACAGTACAACTGTACTCTGCCGAGTCGCTGGGAACAGCATTCAGAACTTCCAAAGTTATCAACCCATCAACTAATTTCTTTCTGTATTTTAGTTTGTTATCCAAAAGTACTCCATTCCTGTACCATGTCACTGTCGGATCAGATGATGAAATGACGCTGCAAGTTAGTTTTACTCGAGAGCCTTCCACCGCTGTTCTGTCAGTTAGGAAGGTAGAAAATACAGGTTTTCTCGTAGAATTTCGCGAGAGAGTACGCTTTTCAGAAATCACACTCCTGGCCTCACTGAAAGCTTTAGATCTATGGCGCATATCTGGACGTCTTTCTGTTGGTTCACTACTTCTACTAGACTCAAGGGGTAGTGGTGGCACTGAAGATCTTAATTGAGCATCAAGGTTAATAGTTTGCGCCTTATAAATTGTTGCATTTTTATTCAAACTCGAATAATCTTTGTCGACACAATAACGATTTTCGAAAGACCTTTCACGATATTTAGATGGTTTCGCAAACTCCATAGAGAAATCCCTGTGACTGTGATCGACGAATCTATGTTTATCCCAATCGTTAGTTTTAGTATGAGATGGTCCAGGCTCATATTGATATTCCTTAATGTAATGTTCGTTATCATTGAAACGAGATGAATTTTTTTCTTGATTATAGCTTGCTTCGTATTTTCTTTTGACATCGCCATTTCTATCAGTTTTGTGAGCATTTTTCTTGATAGCTCCATATTTGCTCTCCTGGTACATAACATTATCATAATCCAGTACCGAATTGTCTTGGTTGTCAATGCTAAGTTTAAATCGAGTTTCATCATTTTCAATTTGTTCTTTTGACTCTACTTTACGAACTTTCTCATATCCAAGATGACTTTGTATTTTTTCTCCTAGTTCTGACTTTCTTGCTGCTTCCATATTTTCTATAGAAATATAAGCTTTATCATCATTCCTCTTAGTAACCATTCCAATTTTTGTTTTTTCCTTGTCCATTTCATAATTTTCCTTAATTTGTTGACCCACATTCTCGCTGCCTTTTATTTCGTTATCTGTTTTATTCTCTTTCTCGTCCATTTCTGCCTTCTGGTTAGCAAGTGGAGCTTCCTCTTCTTTGTATTTTTCTCCATCTTTGACCTCTGCTTTACTCTTATCAGCTTCTGCTTTCTCCTTAGCGTTACCGGCTTCCTGTCCCCTGTATTTGTCTTCAAATCCACTTTTCCGTCTTTTTTTATCTGCTTCTACATTCTCTTTAGCTAGCTGAGCTTCGTCGTCTTTTCCAACCTTTATTTTGTCTGCTCTTGGTTTTTTCTGGTCCTCTTCTGTTCTTGCTTTGGCTATAAGAGCTTCTTCATCTGTACGTTTTACTTCCTCTTCGAGCTCTGCTTTTTTCTTTCCTATTTCTGCTTTTCCTCTGGAAAGACGAGATTCCTCTTCTTTACGTTTTTCTTCATCTTCGACCTCTGTTCTTTTCTGGTCTGTTTCCACCTTTTCTTTAGCCAGAGGAGTTTGTTCTCCTTTTTTCTTCTTTGTTTTCTCAAGATTTGCTTTTTTCTTGTCTGCTTTCGCCTTCTCCTTGGCGAGACGAACTTCCTCTTCTTTACTTTTTTCTTGTTCTTCCAGCTCTAATCTCATCTTATCTGCTTCCGCCCTTTCCTTGGCCAGCCGAGCTTCCTCCTCACTCCGTTTTTCTTGTTCTTCCAACTCTACTCGTTTCTTGTCTGTTTCCGCCTTTTCTTTGGCAAGACGAGCTTCCTCTTCATTACGTTTTTCAAGTTCTTCGAGCTCTAATCTCTTCTTGTCTGCTTTCGCCTTCTCCTTGGCCAGACGAGATTCCTCTTCACTACGTTTTTCTTGTTCTTCCAGCTCTAATCTCTTTTTATCTGCTTCCGCCTTCTCCTTGGCCAGACGAGCTTCCTCTTCATTACGTTTTTCTTGTTCTTCCAGCTCTAATCGCTTCTTGTCTGCTTTCGCCTTCTCGTTGGCCAGACGAGATTCCTCTTCACTACGTTTTTCTTGTTCTTCCAGCTCTATTCTCTCCTTATCTGCTTCCGCCTTTTTTTTGGCCAGCCGAGCTTCCTCTTCACTCCGTTTTTCTTGTTCTTCCGACTCTACTCGTTTCTTGTCTGCTTCCGCCTTTTCCTTGGCAAGACGAGATTCTTCTTCACTACGTTTTTCTTGTTCTTCCTGCTCTAATCTCTTTTTGTCTGCTTCCGCCTTCTCCTTGGCCAGACGAGCTTCCTCTTCACTCCGTTTTTCTTGTTCTTCCGACTCTACTCGTTTCTTGTCTGTTTCCGCCTTTTCCTTGGCAAGACGAGATTCTTCTTCACTACGTTTTTCTTGTTCTTCCAGCTCTAATGTCTTTTTGTCTGCTTCCGCCTTTTCCTTGGCCAGACGAGCTTCCTCTTCATTACGTTTTTCTTGTTCTTCCAACACTACTCTTTTCTTATCTGCTTCCGCCTTTTCCTTGGCAAGACGAGATTCCTCTTCATTACGTTTTTCTTGTTCTTCCAGCTCTAATCTCTTCTTGTCTGCTATCGTCTTTTCCTTCGCAAGGCGAGCTTCTTCTTCTGTACGTTTTTCTTCATCTTCGACCTCTGTTCTTTTCGGGTCTGTTTCCACCTTTTTTTTAGCCAGAGGAGTTTGTTCTCCTTTTTTCTTCTTTGTTTTCTCAAGATTTGCTTTTTTCTTGTCTGCTTTCGCCTTCTCCTTGGCGAGACGAAGTTCCTCTTCTTTACTTTTTTCTTGTTCTTCCAGCTCTAATCTTTTCTTATCTGCTTCCGCCTTTTCCTTGGCCAGCCGAGCTTCCTCTTTACTCCTTTTTTCTTGTTCTTCCAACTTTACTCGTTTCTTGTCTGCTTCCGCCTTTTCCTTGGCAAGACGAGATTCTTCTTCACTACGTTTTTCTTGTTCTTCCAGCTCTAATTTCTTTTTGTCTGCTTCCGCCTTCTCCTTGGCCAGACGAGCTTCCTCTTCAATAAGTTTTTCTTGTTTTTCCAACTCTACTCGTTTCTTGTCTGCTTCCGCCTTTTCCTTGGCAAGACGAGATTCTTCTTCACTACGTTTTTCTTGTTCTTCCAGTTCTAATCTCTTCTTGTCTGCTTCCGCCTTCTCCTTGGCCAGACGAGCTTCCTCTTCATTACGTTTTTCTTGTTCTTCCAGCTCTAACCTCTTTTTGTCTGCTCCCGCTTTCTCCTTGGCCAGACGAGCTTCCTCTTCAATAAGTTTTTCTTGTTTTTCCAACTCTACTCGTTTCTTGTCTGCTTCCGCCTTTTCCTTGGCAAGACGAGATTCTTCTTCACTACGTTTTTCTTGTTCTTCCAGCTCTAACCTCTTTTTGTCTGCTTCCGCTTTCTCCTTGGCCAGACGAGCTTCCTCTTCAATAAGTTTTTCTTGTTTTTCCAACTCTACTCGTTTCTTGTCTGCTTCCGCCTTTTCCTTGGCAAGACGAGATTCTTCTTCACTACGTTTTTCTTGTTCTTCCTGCTCTAATCTCTTTTTGTTTGCTTCCGCCTTCTCCTTGGCCAGACGAGCTTCCTCTTCAATAAGTTTTTCTTGTTTTTCCAACTCTACTCGTTTCTTGTCTGCTTCCGCCTTTTCCTTGGCAAGACGAGATTCTTCTTCACTACGTTTTTCTTGTTCTTCCAGTTCTAATCTCTTCTTGTCTGCTTCCACCTTCTCCTTAGCCAGACGAGCTTCCTCTTCACTAAGTTTTTCTTGTTTTTCCAACTCTACTCTTTTCTCGTCTGCTTCCGCCTTCTTCGTGGTAAGCAGAGATTCCTCTTCACTACCTTTCTTTTGTTCTTCCAACTCTACTTGTTTCTTGTCCGCTTCCGACTTTTCCTTGGTAAGACGAGACTCTTCTTCACTACGTTTTTTTTGTACTTCCAGCTCTAAGCTCTTGTCTGCTTCCGCCTTTTCCTTCACAAAGCAAGCTTTTTCTTCTATACGTTTTTCTTCCTCTTCGAGCTCTGCTTCTTTTCTTTCTCTGGAAAGAAGAGTTTCTTTTTCTTTATGTTTTTCTTCATCTTCGACCTCTGTTCTTTTCTGGTCTGTTTCCACCTTTTCTTTAGCTAGACGAGATTGTTCTCCTTTTTTCTTCTTTGTTTTTTCAAGTTTTGCTTTTTTCTTGTCTTCTTCTGTCTTTTCCGTGGCCAGATGAGCTTCCTCTTCCTTGCGTTTTTCTTCGAGGTCGAGTTCTTCTCTTTTCTTGTCTGCTTCTACCTTCTCGTTGGCACGAAGAGATTCTTCCTCTTTTGATTTCTCTTGTTCTTCCAGCTCTAATTTCTTTTTGCCAGCTTCCGCCTTCTCCTTCGCAAGTCGATATTCTTCTTCACTACGTTTTTCTTGTTCTTCCAGCTCGGCTCTTTTCTTCTCTACTTCTGCCTTCTCGTTGGCAAGAGGAGATTCCTCTTCATTAGGTATCTCTAGTTTTTCCAGCTCTACTCTTTTCTCGTCTGCTTTCGCCTTCTCCTTGGCAAGCAGAGATTCCTCTTCACTACCTTTCTTTTGTTCTTCCAACTCTACTTGTTTCTTGTCTGCTTCCGACTTGTCCTTGGTAAGACGAGACTCTACTTCAGTACGTTTTTCTTGTTCTGCCAGCTCTAATCTCTTCTTGTCTGCTTCCGCCTTTTCCTTGGCCAGACGAGCTTCCTCTTCACTCCGTTTTTCTTGTTCGTCCAACTCTGCTTTTTTCTTGTCTGCTTCCTCTTTCTCCTTGGCAAGAAGAGATACCTCTTCACCAGGTTTTTCTTCGTCTTCAAGTTCTGCTCTTTTCTTGTCTGCTTTTGCTTTCTCCTTAATAAGATGAGCTGTTTCTCCTTTTTGTTGATCTTCTCCTAATTCTGTTTTATTGTTATCATCCTTTATCGTTCCTTTGACTAGGAAAATGTTTTCTGCGTTTGGTTTGTCGTCATCTGCAACCTCTGGTATTTCCTGTTTTTCTTCTTCTTTGAACTCTGTTATTTTTTGGTCCTGTTTTGTTTTCTCCTTAGCTGTATAACTGTTCTCTTCATTGCTTTTATTTCCTTGCTCTTCTTGAATCTTTTTACTATCAGCCTCTGCCTTTTTCCTGGCAGTGGATACTTCTAGTTTTCGATTTTCTTCTTCTTTATTTGCAAGCTCTCTTTCGTCGACTTGCTCTTGTTCAAGTTTCACCGGTAAGATAGTGGTCTCAGTTTTTTCTTCAATCTCAGAAGCATTTTTTTCATTTAGTTCCATTTCTATTTGGTCCTTAACAAAGTCAACCTCCTGTTTATTCTGTTTTTCTACTTTTCCGATTTCTGTATCCGCCTTGTTTTGTTTTTTATTCTCCTTAATCAGGTAATGACCATCTTCGTTTTGTATCTCCTCATCAGTAGGTTTAGCCTTCTGTTTCTTAATTTCTGTCATATCAGCATAGGAGGTAGTTGCTTCCTGATTTTGATTTTTATCACTAGATTTATCGAGTTTAGGAAATTGCTCCTCACTTTGTTCGTCTAAAGCAGTTAAACTGAAAGATTTCTTACGATCTTTTGCACCAACTTCCTCATTACCAAACTTTTCAATCGTCACGTCCAAATCTTTTGAATCGGTTTGAGACGTTTCCTGAATATTTTCCTTTACCAACTCATTTGTTTGGTCTGTTTGTTTTTGTTCTGTAATGGTTTCCATTTCTATAGCTTCTGTGAAAAATTCGTCCTCTTTCGATACGGACATATTTCGTACCGTTTGGTCATTCTTCAATTGTAATGTATTATCCTTAATTTCAACTTCATTAGATTCCTGATCGATACATTTTGTAAATTTAGCTAGCACCAGTTCTGTAGCCTGTAAAACTTGAGGTGCTATTTCACAGAACATTGGGATCTTTTCTTTTACTTCAAGACTTGTTTGAATTTCAATTTTTTTTAAATATTTAGTAACAATATCCAGAGCTCCCGACATCTTTTCTTTATTGTTACAAGATGCCAACTTCTCATGATCAATTATTATCTCGTTTATATTATTTTTCAAATCTTCCAATATGATTTTCGTAAAAGCAGCATCACTAGGTAGTCTAGCAGTCTTATCAAGGCTTATATAAAATTTGATATCCTCGAAATGGTTCAGAACATTACGTAAAGTTTTAGAAAATCTTTTCCATTTTGTTAGATTATCTTCAGAATCAATTTCACTTATAATTCTTGTATTCTTTATTGACTTTAAAAGGTTATCGGTCGGTTTACCATAATTTTCAAACATGTACTGTTTTTGTATACTAGAAATAGTTCCTCTCATATTAGAAATACTTCCATAGACGGAATGTACGGCAGTCAAAATATTTTCACGGATATCAGTAGGTATATTAATTTCGCTTTCGATATCTTTTTCTAATGTAAATACTTTTTCCTCAACTTCATCAAGACTCCGTAAGGCATCTATACCACGTTCAACCAACGTTTCTGCATCAATCAAAAATGTTATTCTAAGTACTTTAATTTTATCTTTGAGCTTTCCCAGTTCTGATACAATCTTATGAAGATTACCTTTTTCTGGGGCCTTGATGGTGGACACATCTTCCAAAAGCTCGACTGTTTGACTAACGTCTTCGGAACATTTTTTTAGTATTTGATGATCTTTGATCTCTTTTATCGTGGAGCTTTCGTTTAAGAGACTAACTTTAGATTCATTCATATTATTAACAAGTAAGTTTAAGGTCGCACACGCTTCCTGCAAAAGTTCAGGAGGGCTTTCTTCATTGATCTGAAGTTGGACACTTCTCACACTGCACTCTAAATCCTCAAGAGTTTCATTGAGGGTGTCAACTGCAGAACAATCATAGTCACGTTTGAGCTTAATGATGACTGTCTGTACTTCGTCTAAGGTATCTCTAAGTTTCTCATTGTTTTCATGACTTTTTTCAGAAAGTAAAACATTTGTTTCATCACTGACGTCTTGCAACAAGTTTTTGAGTCTTTTCATCGAATCCGTTTCTGATGTTCGCACTAAAAAATATAAATATTTTTAAAGAAATTGTAACTAAAATATTTCTTACTAAACGGATATAACTATTTTTTTATCTCAAAGTTATGTGAGCAGAAGATATTTTCAAAGATTTTCTCAGTACCTATTTTGGCTTTTAATGAAAAAAAGAATGCCTTTGAAACCATTCATTATTATCATATTTTTTGTTGTGTAGTACTGTATTAATTTTGTTCATCGTCAATACTGTTGTCTATTTAACTGTAGTTCCAACTGTAACTACAACGTAAACATAAGTTGTCTAAGATATATTTTACAAGCACTATCTACTACACTACTACTATTGAGCTACAAAGCTAATTTCTAAAGAACTTAACGCTACGATCCAGAATAAAATCACCTCACGTGAAATCGTGAGGTGATTTTAATGCTAGTCCATAAATACTTCAATACCAACTAAAATTTGAAATTTGATCTTATGCCGCTAGAACTGCGATGTATTGGAACTAACCATTCTCTGAAACATCCTCTGATCCAACTTCTGAGGAAAAAGCTTCTAAGTCTTTTTGAAGATGTGTTATCACTTCTGAGAGTTTCTGCAAATTGTCAGATTTGATTTCTGAAGTTAGCCTTTGGGCGCGTTCCAAAGTTACATTGTGCAAAATACAAAGACCTCCTTGCAATTTTTTTTGAAGAAGTGACTTGTGTGTTTTTACATTTTGGAGTGGTACAGATTCTGCAGCAAGAGCATTCTCTGACTTAACTAAACATTCATGTAATTCTTTTGCCGTATGTAGAATTTCTTTTAGTTCTTCAACGTTCGTTAAATCTAATATTTGCTGAACCACATCGGATACTTCATCAAAGATAAATTGCTCCAGGTGTACTATAAGAAAACTTTGATCTGAAATGAAATTTACATATATTAGTGCCAAGAAATTTTAGGAAGCATAAACTTAGTAAATTAGTTTTGTCAAAGATATAATAGTATAATTGGCCGTCGGAAAATTATTGGGTTGTTACGGATTTTAACGTAGCATCATACATTTAGTACCTACTTCTATTGGATATACGTATTATATCCTATGTAGTAAGTTCGGTAATTATAATTTAATTTAAAGTTCTAATAAAAAGTATGAAAAGAAATAATTATAGTTCTATTATTTCTGTAACTAAGGTAATATGAAATATTTCTCGCTAAGTATTAGTTACCGTCTAAGGCATGCAACAGAAAGGTAAAGGACGCAATTGAAGACACAGAAGAAAGTTTTGAGAACTAATAAATAACTAGAACCACTTTTACGGTTTAATCTCGCTTTTCTTATTTTCATTACCTTATAGCTGACGTTTCTTATTCTGGACAAATGCCTATGTGCACGTGACAGTAAAAACCGCAACTCGAAACACGACTCGCAAAAACCGAATAAAATACTCATAAATATTAGAATTGAGCATTTTAGAAACTCTTTTGTTGTAAAATTATGAGAAATTATAATTAGATATTTTAATTGTCTATTTCCGGACGTACAAATATAAACTCGTATTATATTTAAAAATGTTTAGGCGGTATTAATTATGAAACAAACTAGCGAGGAAAACGGAATTGTGTAATCGCGAAGACCGACGGCCGAGAAAACTAACTTTTATGTATCTACCGGGATTTTACGCACAGTGTGGCTACCTCATTAGTCTAACCACTGTTAGTGACCCTTTTTTTGGGTATATATTGTCATGAGACCCCCATGCGATTCACTGTCGGAATAACTCTAATACAATATTTGGTACGGGGTCTGGTTCTACTTGTTGTTGTTTCGTATGGTACCATAACGCAGAAGAAAATTGAAGCTTAAAGCCGTTGTAAGCGGAATGCTTAATTATGAGCAATAATCGAAAATAACAGACGAAAAATAAGAAAACGTAAGATAAAAATCATTAAAACCGTCCAAAATCCCAGCGCAGCTCAGTGAAGACTGAATATAAACGGTATTAAAATTTGATTGATGGGTTATGCATTAAAGTCATTAAACGAAACTAAAAACTAATTAACTACTTAAAAGCTTTATTATATCGGAATTATTTATTTTCAAAAATTAAAACGAGCATGCTCGAAATAGTAATCTCCTCGACACGCATGTTTGCTTCTTGGCAATCTATTGATTGTGTAATAAATACATTGAATAAAATGTGTCGTGTTAATGTTTTTTTACTTAATATTAAAGAGAAGATAGGAGCACATATTATTAAGTTAATAACAACTATTAAGAAAATTAATGCAAATCTGCATAGATTAGCTGTGTATTTATTTCAGCGAGAAAATTTTGCTAATATTACTAAGAGATTTGTGTTGCATAATATTATTGTTTTTAATGTTGAGTATTTCATTTTTATAAAAGCATTATGGGTTAAAAGTTTACTGCGAAACCAATCGCGTTATTTACTGCACCGAGCTCTTGTTATGCATTACAGGAGCGCAAAAATCCAGATTGAAATTAGAATTACCGGTATTAAATGCAACCGTATTCTGAGTATTTTCCAAAGATTGTCCTTCTGATATTATCGTTTTATTGTTCGTTTGAACCAAAGTTTTTTCATCTTGTTGGTTGGTTGGTTTTTCTAGCGTAAAATTATCAGTATTGCTACTAAAATTGGGTATAAGTAAATTAGTCGAGGCGTGTTTTTCCAATTCTAACGTTTCATTATATTTATCTTTTTCAATAACCTCAATCTCTTCGCTCAGACCTTCTGTACAAAGTTCTTTAGACAAATCTTCATTTCCTCTTTTGAATTCTTCTTCTTTACTTATTCTAACTACCTCATCAAATGGTTCCGCATTTTCAATTACTTGGATAATTTGAGGAACAGGCGCTACAACCTCCTGTGGATCTAATAAAGAAAGATCTTTGTGCAGTTCAGTCTCCTCACTAGCTGTCACTTCTTTAGGACATTCGACGTTTATATCCTTGTTATTATCTATTTTTTCAGTATGTCCATTAGTAAGCTCCCCAATTATCTCTGTTGTAGGTTTCGAGTCATTTTTATTAAAAATTACAATTTCATTTTCATTTACAACAACATTTCGACATTGCACTTTTTCACTCAATTGATCTACAAGTTTTTCCGTTGCATTTGATTTTTTCATAATATTATCGTTAATAATAGCATTCTGAAAAATTACAAATTGCGGTTCATTTATCATAGCTATTTTTTCAGAATTTTTTTGCTCTAAATCACTATCTAGGTTCGCAAGCTCGTGAAAGACTGTCAAATGTGATGTTAAAAAATGTTTCAGAACTGGCACTGGTACTGTTTCTATTTTTGCTTCTATTAAGTTGGGAAATTGATCTTTTTTAGTGGATGATTTACAGTCTGGAGCTACATTATGTTCATCGGAATGATTCATTTCCCTAGGGTTGGTATTTACTTCTTTTAGTGTAGATGTTTCTTCAGAATATTCAGGATATTTAGTTTTCAAATTATTAATTTCATAGCATAATTCGAGTTCTTCCAACGCTATCACTTCTATAACATGGGTATTTAACATTTCACTATTAAATTTATCTCGTTCGGGTGACGACTTTTCAAAGTCTTCTATGACCTTTTCCGAAAATAAATTTCTTTGAATAAGGTCAATTCCATTTTCTGAAGTGTCAAGACATGTTCCTGATAAATTTGTTTCGTGATTAAGTTCACCTTCTACACCATTTGTAGTATTTATTTCCAAAACTTGTACCGGTGTTTGTTCTAGATTTATGACAGAATTTTCTTGTGTAGATTTTATTTTTTCTGTGGAACTCGACTGAAAATGATCTTCTATTTCTTTTTCTTTTTCATTACATCTTATGACTTCTCCTTCGTAAGCTTCCACAAATTTACTAATCTCTACTTCCGATACATTTTGAGAATCATTTTTACCTTCTATCTTGGTTTCTTTTTCCACAACATTTTCTACCTGAATATTTTTGGCCAAAACCTTCACGTATGCATCGTTTTCTAATGAATTGACTGTAGTATTGTTTTCCCCAAGATTACTTGAGAGAGTCGGTTTGAAGTCTTGAACAGCTAATCCTAAGAACGAAGGGTTTTCGTACTCAACTTCCTTCCTGGAGTCTACTTTCAGATTTAATTCTTCATCTGAATGAGTAGACTGTCCTATATCTAAATCATGGTGGGCTACACGTGCCATACTTAATGCAGGTATCAACAATGATATATCTTGAATAATAAGATTTTGTATGTCGGTTATATTAGTTAAAATTTCATTCTCGGCCAATGGGATTTTATCTTTATTTTCAAGAATTTCATGCAGAGATTCTCTCATGGCAGAGTCTAAATGATGCAGTAAATTTACAAAATATTCACTTGTAGGTAAAACAGAATTCCCACCTACAACTACAGACTCAGAATAGCATTTTGCCATATTTATTGATTGGTTTAATTTGTTTACATTGAAAACTGAAAATAATTCCTGTGTTGCTTTTACTATGCTATCACTCAGGTATCGATTGATGTGGTGTTTTAGTGTTTCTGAAAATGTAAGTAAAATATAAAACTGGACTTAAAACGCTGTTTGTTAAAAATTTATTACTTCTTACGACGTAATCACGAACGACTTCGAAATCTTTTCAATTTTTTTTAACCGAAGATTGAGCTAATTAACAATTTCTGAAAAATATTTTAAGGCATATATTTTACTGTATGCAAAAATAATAAGGAATTTCACCAAGGAAAAACGAGTCGAGGGCCCTGTAGTATATGACGCTATGTTATACTATGTACGTGAGATTACCTTGTTTTCCTGACCGAGTTAGTTATGATACAAATGTGTATTTTGAATTATGCCTATAACTCGAAGAAACTTTAGAAAATACCATATTATATCATCTCACTAGTGACAGAGAAAGGTACGAGTATTTTATCTCATGTCTTGAAATTGGATTCTTGGAGTCACTTTATCACAACTATGAGTTCCGATAATTATTTGAGACCCATATAAATCGTAGGTTTCAGAGGGTTGTAGAGTTTTAGACTAAAAATGTAGATAAATAAGAAAGATTAATCGAAAAAAATCATACCATTTATATCTGAAGCACTCGCAAGCTTATCTTCGACGTTGTCCAAAACATGTGGGCTTGATAAAATATCTGCACTCTCCAATTCGAAATACGGTACCATTGCATTTTCAGAAACAGCTTCGACTGAGACAATTTCCACAACTTCTGCATTGTCGAATGATTCCATTAAATTAACTGCATTCCCGGTGTCTTCAGGAGAAATCGCTTCTATTCTATTTCCAAGCTCCTCAATAGGTTCCGTTTTATCTACTACTACAGGTTCGGTTATTTGAACATGGTATTGTTCTTCACACGCAATAAGCGCACTTGGTTTTGTAGCATCATCAGTATGAATATTTGACATTACATTGTCAGTAATGTTTAACGTTTCTTCTACAGCGGTGATTTGGGCTTGTTGTTCTGACAAAACAACATTTTCTGCTGCAAAATTTTCTTTAACTTGGTTTTGCTTTAAATCAGTCTCAAAGGCACTCTCGATTTCGAGATTTGACATTGAAGGAATATTTTTAATTCTTAGAGAATCAGAGGCATCATTGCTAATATCTCCAGTTAATATTTCTGTGGTTTCTAACACTGTGACCACCAGTGAATTAGTTGCTTCTGTTGGTACATTTTCAGCAGCTGCAGATTTTAGTTCTAAATCGGGAGCTTGATATTCGTTAAGTTGTTCGACAACCGTCTCTTCCGTTATTTCACAGATTACAGCTTGGCACTTGTCTTCTAAAACGTCGCTGTTATTCCCATCCTTCAATATTTCGAAAGATTCAAGTACCGTTTTAAGTGACGACTCAGGAGTTTCATCAATAGTTAACTGTTCCGTACAAAGTTCGTCACTGATTTCAGGTACTACACCTTGTAATTCCATGATTACTTGTCTTTCTTTAGTTGAAGATTCTTCTTCTATATTAACAGTTTCAACAATGTCGTTCTGAACGTTTTCGTCCAACTCACAAGTCGTTTCTATAGCCGAAACGACTGTTGATTCAACTGCTTCTCTAACAGGAGCGTCAGTACTCTGAAAATATTTGAACGTCTCTAAAGAACTGTCTTCACCACTTGTTATCTGTTTATCAAGGTTTTCTTCGATTATTTCACACACAATGCCTTGTGATTGCATGGTTTCTTGATTCAATTCAATCGAAGATGCTGCTTCGAATTCTTTGACGTCATTAACATCGCTTGCCAAGTTTTCTGTACAATCAATTGTTGCGACTGTCAATGATTCAACAGCTATCGTTTGCGGAATATTTTCAACAACTAAAGGTTGTGTACTTAAATGCTCTAGTTGGTCGTTGTTTAATTGTTTTGAGCATAATTCCTCACATTTTACATTTTCAGTTAGTTGCATCTCAATTGTCACTTGTTCAGTTTTTAATAGTTTTGCTTGGTTTGTAACAGTGCTATTTACGTCGCTAGTAATATTTTCAGCTAATGTGCTAGATATAGTTTTCAATGGTGTACCTATCAATGACTCAACGACATTGTTGTATATTATTTCATCAATAGTTGAGGGTAGTAACTTTACATCCACAACCTCTTCAACCTCTATTTGTTTTTTTGCCATATCTTGAGTTGTTTCACATATAACCTTTGGTACCATTTCTTTTTCTACTTCAGCTGCAATTTCGTCTTCAACTTTTGTGATTTCGGCAGCATTGTCACTCTTTGCTTCTGTGGTTTCATTTTTTGTAACTAGAAATGAAGTAGCAGCTCCAGTTAGTGGGATTTCCATGGCATCCAGAGGTTCCTTTTTCATAGAGTCTATAGCTTCAACTGGTTGCTGCCCAGAAGGTACTACTTGCTGTTCATCAACTACTTCATAAATAGCTGCTCGTGGTTCTACAATTATTTGCTTCGTTTCAATGGATAAAAGTTCTACTAGACCACCATCATTGCCAGAACGTTCTAACGGTAGTCCTAAGGTTTCTAATGCTGTGGTTTCCGATATCACAACAGTTTCTCGAACTATGTTTTCAGCAGTTTGAGAATTAGAACTTTCAGCTTGGTCTTTTTTTAATTGTTCCGATACTAGTTCTGGAATTACTTCACTGGCTACTATTTGTGATTCTACAGTTGATTCCGTCGTTTCTGCGGATACTGCTTGTTCTATTTTTAAAGATTCGCACATCTCGTTTTCGAGGTTGGAATTTAGTGTTTGTATAGTTTCAAGACCTGTCACAAGTGGTAAATTGACTTCTGCTGTTAAATCTTCTTTAGCCAATTGTTGCTCTTTTGTAAATTTGATTTCATCGCTTATTAAATGTTCTACCAGTATTTCTTGGCTTACGTCACTGACAATGCCCTGTGATTTTGTAAAGTCTGATGACATTTGATTTAATTCAGTTATAGATTCTTTTCTTTGTTTTTCAGTTTCTCCGACGTTCATAGAAGTTGTGTCATTTGGCGTCTCAGTAGTTTTACCGGTAGTAATCAAAGGTGACTCAACTGTTTCTCTCGTGGTGCTCTCTTCAATCATCTTTTGGCTTTTACTATCGGCAACAGTTTGTAATTCTTCTACAAGCTTTGATTTTATTTCAGGTTCGCCAGCGATTTTGACGAGGTCAACGGATGTGTCATCCATTGGCGTTTCTGTGGTTTTTTGGACTGTGACTAATGATGATTTCAAAACTTCTGATAACGTATTTTCTTCAGCACCTAATAGTTGTCCTTCTAACAGTTTTACTTCACTGGTTGGCAAATGTTCCACAATCATGTCTTGGCTAACGTCATCGATAGTATCTTGTAGTTCTACAACTTTTTGTTTCGATCCAGTTGTATCTTCCCCTAGTTGTTGTTCATTTTCAGCTAGGTCTCTTTGAGGAATGTTTTTTAGCGCTTCAGTGCTTTTTACAGCTTTATCTATTTCCAACAACGAATCATCTACTAATAAGTTTATATTCGTTGGCACGTCATCTGACTCTAAAGATGTAAGCTGATTTTTTTTAAGGTGTTCAAAATTGGCTCTGTCCTCTTTTGAGATTAAAGTATCAATTATTTCGATATTCACTTCATCATTCTTAATAGGGCAAACATTTTCTCCCATCAAATTTTCTGTAGTCTCATGTGTAGTTCCCGCTAATGTTTCAAATGCTTCTTTTTCTTCCATTTCCAAATTCATAACATCAGGTACCTGCTTTAGCGATGTGCCACCTAAAATAACACTACTGTCTAGACGTTCAGGCTCAACTTCTGTGCTATGTGCCGTTTGAATTGAATAATCGTCTTCATTTAAGGGAAGATCAATAGTGTCACAGCTGATGTTACTAGATACATTTTCTATTACTCCAACATCAGATGACTCCAATACTTCAGTTACACTATCGGTTACTTGTAGATCTGTTGATTTGACATCACAAAAATCTTCTTTTATCTCAATAGACTGAGCTGCTTCGATTAAAAACAAATTATCTGTAATTTTTCCTACTAAAGACTTTATTTCTGCAGTGTCGATTGTTTCGTGTTTTTCTTCTGATAATAAATCTGTAGAGGTTTTTTCTAACGAAACAATGTTTTGTGCTGTTTCAACTTCTTGTAATGGTGTTTTAGTTTCGAAGATCTTATTAATTTCTTCAGGTGCATTTAAGTCTTGCTCTACAACATTAGCTTTTTGTACAGACTCTTTAACAGAACTTTCAGATGTGTTTTGATTAGATTGTATAGCTTCCATCACTTGTGTTAAATCATCACACAAATTATGAACTATTTCAGATATAGCCTTCAATTTATCTTTGGTTAGGTGAGGAGCCATTACTTCTAAACTCTCAAGTTCTTGATTGTAAAGAACTAAAAGGGCCATTTTTAGTTGTGATGCCAAATATACTGGACTTTCTGGGTTTGGCTCTGTTTCAATTTTGGGCTTGATTACCGACTCTGATATTCTTATACTTTTTTGTAGCTGTTTAGCTAAATCCACAGATTGCATCAGTTCATGTAAATTAGCTGAACAAGAAAATTCATCAACTATTTCGATAATATTTTCATTAACATATTCGTCCAAATGCTCTACTAGCTTCGCTGAAAAAAAAGGGTTTTTGGTACGATTAGAAATTGGAAAAATATCGAAACGTAATTTATTTAACTAAATTACTTCAAGTCGTCATCGACTAAAGGATTAGATGCTCGGTACTTTCGTACTGGGCGATGCGACTGTGCCGGTGTCCTAATACTGCAACCAGGTACCGATTTTCCTAATGAAATACGTACTTAATCAATTTCACATATTACTTCCACGCTAAAGATATACATACATAACATAGTCTAATAAAAATCAAACCTGCAAAAAATTTTAATCTAATTACTAGGGGTAACGTGTCTTGTGAGAGACAGCACGAATAGGTACAACCAGCCTGCCCATTTATGCCAGTAAGCAGTAATATGTTTCAGTTTCAAGGGTGTGGTAGCAATAGTGCTGTAAAACTGAGACATTCTGGTCTTGATGTCTATGAGCTCTGGTAACCAACCACTTCGGCTTATTTTTTCTGTGCTGAAACAATCATGCACATCCATGAAGTTAGAACCTAAAACTTCAACCTGATTTCGCAAATTAGCTGATTAGGTAAGTAACATTAGGTTGAACATAAATTCGTATATACCTATGAAAATGATTAATAAATTTAAATGAATGACAATTAGAAAAAAATAGTTCCCTCAATTGTTTACATTAAAGAAACTTACCATAGAACGGTTGACATTTATCTAATTGAGCGATCTCCGGCATTACTATAGTGACATCAACTTTCTGTAAGTCTATTTTTTCATCAGTTACTAAACCAGTCTTAGGATTTACAGATCCTTCTAAATCATCCAAAGAACTAGCGGGCACAGAACAAACTAGAACTGGTTCCACAATATCCAACTCATTATCAGGCATATTAGTTGACGCTGAGTCTGCTGAGAATGTTTGATTAGATGCTAACTCCTCTGCATTTAACACGTTATAAACTTCAGGAGGCCCTTGTTCAAAAATTAATTGGGCTTCTTCTGATATGCTAAATGATTTTATATCATCTTTTATAAGACCATCCTGGGTTTTTTTACTTACTCCAGCGATATCCATATTTGTTTCCATCTGTGCTACTGCCACTTCTTGGGTGACAGTTACTAAATTTTCATTTATAACACCCTCATTAGAAGATACATCTTCTAATAATTGTGTTATGTTAACTTCTTCAGGTTCAACAGTTACTTTACTTAATTCTTTTGGTTTGGGTTGGATTGGTGGGTCTGCCGTATTTTCAAACATATTCACGTTTTCAACAATAGAAACCAATTTATCGCCTTGAGCTGACTCAGGTACTAGTCTATTCTCTGTGCTTATGGTTTCCAACGATTTAGCAACTTCATCGAGCACATAGGGCGGAGCTTGTATAGTAATATGTACGCCAGTCACAGCCATTAAGTCTGCTTGTAGCTGGGCTGTTACTCTTGCTACTCTTTGAAAGATTTCTGTGCTTAATTCTGGTACCATTTCTTGGGCACTATCAAACACTTGTACTTGTAAAGCTGATACAGCCTTTTGCAGTTTATGTGCTAGCCGTGCTTGTTCGATCAAAATTTCTTCCTTTATAGATTCAGCAACTTCGTCGTTGATCATATCTGAGGTCACAAAAGTCTCACGTAGATCTTTTGCCATTTCGATCGTCTCCTTCAAGTCTTCAATTTTAATAACAGCAGAAATTTCTTCGACTATTTCAATTAACTCTATATATTGATTGATATGTTGAACGAGCTGTTCTGTACTTCCTGTAATTAGATCTTTTGGTTATTAGTGTTTTTTTGGGTATTTAGTTTTAGTGATAAGAGATTGAATTGAAGTGATATAATTAAAGTTATATTACTATTTCGCATCATATATAAATATTACATATACAAATATTAATAACATCATTATAGCACATGAAAGTTTGTGATGTAATAAAATTGAAACGATAATAATTATCGGACACTAAATCGATTACCACCTTCACAATTACTAATTATATCATAAGCCAAAATATCAGGTTTATTCAATGCATAATATTATGTAATTGTAAACCGATCAAAAATACACGCTGCATATTTTCAATTTCAATCTCATTCTGTCCTTCCGATTGTCTGTCATTATATTTTTACCAATGCAATGAAGATAAAAAAATTAAAGATTTAATTTTACATTCATTTATATCAATAATTTTGAAGTATTATATTAAATCTACTTCATTGATAATTACTCTATCCATAGCATTTTCCAATGAATCTATATCTACTAATAATTATACATTTTAATAGTAACAAAAACTAACATAATGACATTGTAAATTAAAGCTAATCTCACCTTTAGGTATTTTATCTTTCACATCTGTAATTACATTTTCTGATGCAACTAAAACATGTAAAGATTTTTCTACATCTTGTATTTGCTTTGTTACGTCGTTGATGTCCTGCGCTGCAGGTTGATTTTTTAACGCCTTAATACTATCTTGTATGGCATGTAAATCCTTATCCACCTCAAAAATTAAAGCAACATCCTTATCAGAAACATTAACAGTTTCGAGTTCTAGTTTTGCTGATATTTTTTTGTGAACATCAGATATAGTTTGAACTATAGATTCTGCAGAGTCAATATCAAGTGAAATTGAATCTTCTTGCACACCTGATAAAACTACTTCTTGAACGTGAATTAGTTGTGTATGAAGATTCTGCAGCGGTTCTACCATTTCCATTAATGCAGCTTTAATATCCAATGCTTCATCATTTGTATCACATTCAATTTTTTGCTTAGTTTCTCCTAAGCTCTCTTGTAGTATATCCACACAATTAGACAGGCAATGCATTATTATTAATACTTTGCCAGCATCAGTAGCATCTTTATAATCTTGGTGTTTTTCAAGGCACGTTAAAATTTTCTTGAAAATAACTTTCTTGTCATTATCTTCTTGTACCACTATTTCGTCTTCTACAAATCTAAAGAAATCGTCCATTGTTCTCACCAATTTGTTTTCTTCATTATTGACATTGCATAAATCAAAATTCTTTAATTCCATTATGATTTTATCTTTGATATTTTCGGCGTTGGGTTTGACTGCATCAACTAAATTGTCTAACTTTGCAACAAGATTAGCCATTTTATCAAAGTGATTTCGGTGACTTAAATACTTTAGATTAACAATTGGAGACTTAAACAAGAGCTCAGACTGTGATTCTACAATTTTTATTAAAGACTGTCGTACAGTTGCCAAACAATCATCGCTATGAATCAAAAAACTCTCGATGCATTGGTTTACATCATCAGACAGCTGCAGTTCATTTGTTTTAGTCTTAAAACCTTGAATAGTACTTTGAATGTTACAAAACTCTTGCACTAATCTAATAATTTTTTTGGGGCTCATGCTTTTATTCAAGAGACAGCGTAATATAGTAAATTCGTTCTTACAAGTCGTAAAAAAATCTTCAACAATCATCAAGTCCGCCATAGGGGTATCTTCGCCAGCGTCTTTTATTATACGTACCGCAGTTTCAACAATTTCACTAATGTGCACAAGAGATTCAATTTCAACTTCTTTTGCTATTTGCGGTGAAGCACATGATGACAATTCAGAAGCTCGTGATAAATCCACAAAATCGTATTCTTCCAATACAGCAATATTATGTTCAACTTCCTCAATAGTGTGTATGAAAGATGCCTCATTAGGTAAAGCTTCTGAAGAGTTCGGTGTAAACCTCAAAATTTCTTCCTGAATACCAGCCACTTTGGCGTATAATTCTTCGCTTAAATATCTCACTTGTTCAATTTTTATGCCTTCTGTTACATCGGTAGCAATTAAGATCTCGTTGACTACATCGTCTAACACTTGAACCTCGGGAATTTGAGTTGTAGAGCTTTGATTAATTGACTTGAGCATTATTTTTAAATGTTGACACGCTTCTCTTAACTTATTTACTGAGCTCGAAATTTCAATGGACTGCTTAGTAAATTCCAAAGCTGGCAAAATAGCCTGCATGCATTTATCTAAATGCTCTTTAAAAGCGTTTATTTTGTTTAAAACGGAATGTATATTATCCGTAGGTAACTCTAATATATTTTCATAAATTGGAATGTTGTTTGGGTCCACTACGGATAAACTATGTTGAAGAACTTGCATAGGTTCTGCCATAGCTGCTAATTTAGAAGCATTAATTGATTGCAAACCTTCTAACACAATTGGTTGCAAAACTTCTTCTATTCCAGAATGAAGATCACTCAGACCCAGAGTTACTGATTTGAGACTGAAATAGTCGCTTATTTCAGAAAGCGTGTCGATAGCATCAATGATTTCTGGACTTTGTAAAATTGTCAAATGTTCATTCAAAACATGCAAAGCTTGAGCTATGGATGATTTTGGTTGTTCGTCATAAAATGACCCTAGAGTTTGTTCTGTTGTAGCAAATTCAGCAGTGGGAAGTACCAATTGGTCGGACGGAGCTGTCTCAGCAGTAGTTTTAATTCCAGAAATATCTTCTAATGTTGACATATCATCAACTACTTCTATTGCAGCATGATCTTGAATCATCACAACACAGCTCTGTAAGCTTTGAATAATGCTTGCTATATCCACACTAATTTCATATTGACTCAGATCAGGACCAAACTGAGAAATTACGTCTTGCTGTATAACCTCCAAAGTTCTAAATAATTCCTGTAATGGTTCCGCTATAGCAGTTACAATTTCGTTTGATTCTTTCAAGCTTTCAATATTTTCGATTATAGTCTGATTAAGAACTATAACATTGTGGTTGAGTTCAGAGAGAGGAATCGCAAACTTTTCAGAAAATGACTTTTCTGAAATATCCGAGACGTAAGCTTCTTTTTGTATTCCGCCAACGCATGCTGATGCAATATTTTGTTTCAGCTCTTCTAATATTGGACAAATTTTTTGTAAAATTGGTGTAATGTTCTCCTTTAGAGATGACGTAGTTTCTAATAATTTCACTTGATTAATAGCTGCGACCGTTTGATTTACATGTTCAACTATTATTTTAACTTTTGTCGAGTCAAGTACTGGAGCTTGTATTTCTTGCAAATTATCATATTGTATTTCTGTTGTCGATTCCTGAGCTTGATTAATTGTCTCCTGTATTCCAATAAGTATATCAGTTATATTTGTTACTACACAACAATTTAATTCTGAATCAAAGATGTTTTTGATAAATTGATTTTGTATAATTTTAAGAGTGTTGCTTAAGCTTGCAAGGCTTAGAATATTGTCCGTGTCCATATCTCTTATACAAGAATTAATGCGTCTTATACCATCGCAAATCTCGATCATCGATAAGTACTTCTTAGCATTATTACTTTCGATCACCTTCTCCAAGGCTTTGGTAAGATTTTTGTGAAAAGAATTCATGTTGCTTTGGACTTGTGGCATGGTGTCCAGTGTAGGTAGATTTTTCTCCAACGAAATAAGTGTCTCTGCCATTTTTTGAAGTGCTTCCAATTTATTCTCATTTTGCAATACATCAAAAGCACCTATATTATTTTCCACTTTATTAATGTATGATGAAATAACGGTTAAGTTTTCTTTAATTGACGACAAAACTTTATTCAACTGAATTTTGTCTTCAGCTTTTATTTCTGTTGACATTTTTTCGAATGAGCTTCGAAGTTGAAGAACAGGTTCCATAACATTTTCAATTATTTCGGTGTTATATTTATTTAAAGATGTTGCACATTCTAGTACAGAAAGTGATTCTATTTGCTCCAATGCACTTTGGAGATCCTGTATCGATGCTGACATGTCGTTCAAAATGACTTCGCTGTTATTAACTTGGGAAATGTCTACGATCTTTCCACTTTCAGCACTGTCAACAATATACAGCAAAGACCTTAATGGACCTTTGAGTTCAAAAAGAGCTTTTTGAGTGTCTGTTAAATGCTTAGATTCTACTGTCGATTCAAGTTTTACCTCAGTTGCTTCGTTTAGCAGATTATTAGTCTTAATCGATTCTGTAGAAAAATTTACAACCGTAGATATTTCATTTGATACTACGTCAAGTTCATTACACACATTTTCACTTAGTAATAAATATTCTTTCTTTTCAATAGCATTTATTTCGCAAACAAGGTTCTGAATTGCATTACCACATTTTTCCATGATGGAAACGCAAGTTTTCTTGACTAGTGTTCGATTGTCACTTTCAACATCTATACACTTTTCTATGATCGTAAGAGTTTGTTGCAATACTTTCAATGGCTTAGGGAGCCTAGAGAACAGAGTACGCTGTACTTCAATGGTTTCTGAAGCAGATTCTTGAATGGTGTCAGTTATACTAAGAATTTCAGAAAGTGGATTTATTAAGCTACTTATTATTTCCAAGCTCTTTGAAGCGGTAGCAGCAGAAGCCATAAGCTCTGACTTGATGATGATTTCTTTTTCAATTTTTTCAATATCATTAATCACTTTATTGAGGGATGTACTAACGTTTGTCATGGATACTCTAAACTCTTCATTCGTCATTACTTGTTTTCCCTCCATTTCAGTTTCAGTTGCAATGATCGTTTGTTCTTTAATTAACTCATCTTTAAATTTATCAACAGATTTCTCACTACCGCTAGATCCGCGGCTACTCCTTCTTTCGCGTTTTGTTTTCCTTGCAGAAGTTTTGACATCACTCTCAGTTGGTTTTTGCATGTCATCTCTCAAAAGAATTGTCTTAGTTAGATCAGAGGATTCATGGCCGTCTTCTCCACTAGGCTTAGAAGATTTGGATTTGGGTTTTCCGGAACTGTGAGCACTGGCAAAACTTTGTAATTCACTTTCCGACATCACCTGCGTGTCGTCATCTTTCTTTTCTTCAGACAATGATTGCTCTCTAGACAAACTAAAATAATCCTCTCCACTTTTTTGAGAATCTGATTTTTTTCTGCCTAATGTTAATGGGATGTCTACTTTTTCTTCAGACAAAAGAGCCATTGTCTTTTCTAAATAGTCTTCACCTGCTATGTCAATTTCTTGGTCCAATGATAACTGCGGAAGACCGTTTTCATCTGCGATGGAAATATCTTCAACGTCAGCTTCAGTTCTTAGATCTTCTTCTGGAGATGCAAAATATTCAGGAGAAACATCAATGACTAGGGCTTCCATTAATAAATTTCCCGATGTAGAAGTTTCTTTGACAAATCGCAGAGGTGGTAATTCAACAACGTTATGCTCAGTTACGTTTTCTGATAACTGATCGGCGTACATTTCCACTATTTGTAATGCTTCTTCTTCGGTCAGATCCGGTGTTTCGTATAAGGAAACCGACACTTCTTTTCCATCAAACGAGAAAGATACTTCTCCTTTGTCATCGAGAGTAATGTCTCCAACTGGAGTATCATACATTTGCGATGTTCGTTCTTCGTGTATAGTGCTCAAAGATAAGTTTCTTTGCAGAGCCTGTTCTTCGGCTTTCTTCTTTTCTTTAGCCTTCATGGACTCCTCGAATCCGAGCAATGAGGCAGAACTGGCAGCTACTCCCATGCAATTAGAGGCTTCACAAGTATAGGTTCCAAGGCTACAGGTGCCATCCTGTCCTGATATAATTCTGTGTATGTCACCAGGTTTTAATTCTTCGCCGTCCTTGTACCACTTAAGAACTGGTTGTGGAACACCAATTACTTTACACTCGAGATTCACAGCGCCTTCGTCAGATAAAATGGCTTGCAAATTTTCTAGAAACCTAGGTTTTTTATAATGTCTCGGTATTATGAGTTTGAGAAAGCATGAGGTGACGCTTTGTCCGAAATCGTTGAAAGCGACGCACTTCCACTCAGCCTGGTCAAGGAACTCAAGAGCTTGGATGTCAAGGAAGAAGACGCCGCGCTCTTCTTTGCCGAGGTGGCAGCGTGAAGACTCGTCCACTGGCTGGTCGTCACGGTACCACAATAGAGAAGGTTCAGGCGGAATTGCAACTGAAAAAAACACCTTTTTTACTATTGAAACACTCCACAATTCTACTACTTTGTTCTTTATTGGTATACTAGCGGCCCACTCCGGCTCCGCTCGGGTCTTTAACAAAAATTTTAACGATATTTGATGTAGTTTATTTTTTTTAAATATTGCGAACACTTATTGCGGCGTAACTACAATAGTGAGACATATGCCGTGGCGACACTTTTTGTAAATAATAATGTAATAAGTCGTAGTAGATTATTTTATTCTATCATGAATAGTTTTCGCAGGGCACGCGATGTAAAGAATTTTTAGGTATTTTTTTTACACTTTGGGTTACATTATAGGAGTTTTAGTAAGGATCCCTATTTTTTTTTTTCAAAAATGATTATATCTTATGTCACTTAGGAATAGTGTAGCTTCCAAATAGTGAAAGATTTTTTTAAATCGGTTCAGTAGTTTCGGAGCCTATTAAATACAAACAAATCTTTCCTCTTTATAATATTACTATAGATTGCCAATAAGTAATCGTATTTACCTTTGATTGTGAAGCGGAATGGTTCATCTATTTTTGCTTCTACACTCTTCAAGCCGTGCACAAACTTAGGCGCTTGATTCTTAGAGAAAAGCTGTAACTTCTCTTCCTCGTTAAGTTGGTTCTGTATGTCTTCGACGGTTAGTTCAGCAGAGCTGCTGGCTTGACCCATGCAATTCTTCGCTATACAGCAGTACGATCCCAGAGAGTTAGTTCCGGTCAATTGGTATACGTCACCAGGTTTTAGTTCTTGGCCGTCTTTGAACCAACTAAGCACCGGTGTGGGGAAGCCGACGACTTTACATTCGAACGATACCAGTCCTTCTTCGGTGAGAACTGCTTGAAGGTTTTCCATGAAACGGGGTTTCCTGTAGTTTTTCGGCACTGTGGGGTGTGAATTATGTATCATTTTAATACTAAAATTAAACACATTGTTTTGTGTTATCATTCTTAGCAGTAGACGAGCTCTAAGGACTTACAGGTGGTTTTTTACTGGTGGTAGGACTTCTTGTGAGTCCGCGCGGGTGGGTACCACCACCCTGCCTATTTCTGCCGTGAAGCAGTAATGTGTTTCGGTTTGAAGGGTGGGGCAGCCGTTGTAACTATACTGAGACCTTAGAACTTATCTCAAGGTGGGTGGCGCATTTACGTTGTGGATGTATATGGGCTCCAGTAACTACTGAACACCAGGTGGGCTGTGAGCTCGTCCACACATCAAAGCAATAAAAAAAGGAGCCTTTCTTTGTTAATTACACCGCTCAGAGACTGAAAACTCCTGCTAAACTTATATAGATTTAGTTAGAGACACAAAAATTACAAATATAACACACACACACATTGATTTTTATAAAGACGATGCAAGTGAAACCGCTTTTTAAAGAATACTAGCTGACCCGGCAGACTACGTAGTACCTCAATCGATAAATAAAAGACCTAAACTTTTGTATAAAATAAATTTAAAAAAAACAAAAAGAATCCGTCCGACCGGGGACACGTCAAAGGAAAAACAAAATTGTTTGTTTTTATATAATTCCGATCATTTTCATATTTTTTCACCTTTTAAACCTTCTCTGGACTTCCACGAATAATTCAAGACCAAAATTAGCCAAATCAGTCCAGCCGTTAGCGAGTTTTAGCGAGACTAACGAATAGCAATTTATTTTTATAAATATAGATTACCGTCCATATTAAGGCTGCAAGTGGAGATGCCAACGCGTCCCCCACTGCTGGTCGCCACACACTTCCACTCTCCTTCATCACGCCACTCAGCGCTTCTGACTTCCAGCACATATCCACCGACGCCATCTTCCAAAACGTGGTACCTTACGATCATATACACATATCAACGTACAAACAAAACATATAATAACATATCAATTGTCAACAACAATAGCAATAAAAAAAACCAACAAAAAAAAACAAGTCAGTTTTCACTTTGAGTCCAACACGGGTAGGTACCACCACCCTGCCTGTTTCTACCGTGAAGCAGTAATGCATATCGGTTTGAAAGGTGGGGCAGCCGTTCTAACTATACTGAGACCTTAGAACTCATATCTCAAGGTAGGTGGCGGCATTTACATTATATATGTCTATGTCCAGTAACCACTTAACACCAGGTGGGCTGTGAGCTCGTCCACCCATCTAAGTAATAAAAATAATAATCAACTTGAGTTCGCCTTTATAATAATATTTATTAGTTTTGTCAAAACATCAAGCTTCGCTCCGTAAACACGTAAGTGATATGAAGACTAGCTAAGCCGAGGCGACTTTAAAAAACCGCCAAGATAAACTGAACAATATTTTTCACTTTTAAACGTAAATTATTTCTCCTCGTACTACGTTCATATTTGGTGAGCCCATAGTGTTATAAGATGAAATGCTGTGCTTGACCTGATTTTATTTTTACTACATTAGGTGCCGTAGAAAATTAGACAGTATGATTACTTTAATGGGCGTGATTTTCTAATTTCATTATCTCAAAGGCTACGGTCGTTTTCTCTTGTTTTCGTTACCATTTCCTGAACATTAACTTAACCACCATCGTCTTTAAATGCGTATCAATACTTGAACTCTTATAGCATTTTTCAGGCAGCTAACGAATAACTTCATTGACCAATGTACTAATAAACCATACAACCAACTCCATAAAAAGTACCGAAATATGTTTCTCCAGGATTGTGCTCCTTTTAGCTACAAAAATCGTTTAAATGAGCCTACCTTTCTCCAGCTTCCACCTTCCCTTCCTTGTTGTACCACACGACAGACCGCGGCCAAGGCGGGACCACGATCTGACAGCTCAAGGTAAACGGCTCGCAGATTCGTACGTACTGGTCTTCCAGTTCTCTCGTGAATATCGGGGGCGGCTCGGGCGACAGTCCGCTGAAAGTTTGTCAAAGACCGGATTAATACGTTTGCGAAATTCTCTTCCCAATTCGAAAATAGTCCAAGACGCCAGTTGAACAAGCGTCAGTTTGAGAGGCTTAAACGACAAAGGGAAGATCTTCGACCGAGCGGGTGATGTTGCTCGGTAGACCGACGGTTCGACCGAATGTTGTTGTTCGGAACTTGTATATATTATGCGAGCTTAACTTGAAAATGTCGTAAACGAGATTCAGGCATCTGTCAAATATCTTGCGTTGTATGATGGCTACCCGCCACAGTCAGTCCATTCGCCTACGTTAATCGGTAATTATCAAGGCAATTAAGCATTTCTAAAATGCGTCGTTAGCATTCCGTACAGGAATTTGTCGTCAATATCGAGTGGATGCGTGTCGACAACAGTATATGGCTTAAGTTAATGTGCGTGGTAATGCACACGCCGGAATAACTCTTGTAATACGGATGTCGTCATGACTTTTGTATGCTTTGAACAGAAGCATATTATATAATGTGATTCAGACTTCGACATAATACCCCACGGTATTCAGATCGTACTCCATTTTGACCTGCAGAGGACCAGTATCTCACCTTGAATTTGGCTTAAGGGATCCTTCCCTGCTCGCGCGTCCCACGACGTGCACCTTGGAAGAAGAGTAAGCCCTGCCCATGCAGTTGACAGCTTCACAGGTGTACGTGCCGAGGGAAGTCGGATCCTCAGCGTTTGCCGTCAAAGCGAACACGTCTCCGGCTTTTATTTCACGACTGTCCTACAATTATATATAAACATAAGTTGCTCGGATCTCCAGGGAGGTTACTACAGCTTCTTCCCTTCCTACCCTTCCCCGTCCCGTTTAAGGAGCAATAAATCTCAAAGAAGTACTAAATCGATGGCGGAAAATCAAGCAAACATGGAATTGAATGTAATTAATCAATACTCCGATAGGCGATAAGTAGTATTGTGTATGTATATTAGTAAAAGTAGAATTATTCCGATTTACAAAGGTAGGAATAGTAGTTCAACTTCGGCCTTGACTTCAAGGTGCTGTGGTATTCTTACCAGTTGAAAAACAGGCGGGACCTCCTTTGCCTCCCATCATCATCACCAGGATAACCTCAAAAAACCCTAACAGCTATATAGAGTGACAATCGAATTCATTGATTCGCAAAAGAACTTTCTAGTAACATGCAATCGTGAGGTATGAGCAGTAACGTAAAAATTCAGACTATGATGCTGTACCTTGAACCACCTGAGGACGGGAGTGGGGACCCCGACCACTTTACACTCGAGGGAGACGGTGCCTTGCTCGGTCAACAGCGCGCGGAGCTCCTCCACAAACTCAGGACGTTTGTAGGCTTTCGGGACTGTAATAGAACATATATTTACATTTGTCGGGTCTTGAACTAAGACTGATCGTCTGTCGTGTGGTATAAATTTAAAAAAGAGGTATATATAATGAGTGGGAGAAAAAAACGTTCAAACAATGAGTTTTTTATTTATTTATTGCTTAGGAGCTCACGGCTCACTGTATATTAAGTGGTTACCGGAGCCCATAGAAATCTACAATGTAGATGCCGCCACCTACTTTGAGATATGAGTTCTAAGGTCTCAGTTTTTACAATACAACGGCTGCCCCACCCTTCAAACCGAAACAAATTACTGCTTCACGTCAGAAATAGGCAGGTCGTTGGTACCTACCCGTGCGGATTCACAAGACGTCCTACCACCAGTAATTACGCAAATTATAATTTTGCGGGTTTGATTTTTATTACACGATGCTATTCCTTCACCGTAGAAGTCAATCGTGAACAATTTTGTTGAGTACATGTTTCATTAGAAAAATCGGTACCTGCCAGCGGGATTCGAACTCAGGCACAGTCGCATCGCTAGATACGAATGCACCGGACGTCTTATCCTTTAGGCCACGACGACTTCATGTCGATGTTCCATCCCTTTTTCACCTGGAAGCTACGGCTACAGCTGTCGCAGCTCCGCATTGAATTCTAGTGCAGCGATTTAAAGCGCTTACCTAAAACATTAAGGTGCGCGGAGCAGCTAGCCCTGCCCCCGACGTTCTCAGCGGTACAGGTCCACCTGCCCGCGTCGTCCACGCTCACGGCCGCCACGTCCGCGCAGAAGAAGCTCCCGTCCCTCACGATCGACACGCGCTCCGCTTCGAGCAAACGGCGCTCGTTCCGGTACCATGTTACCTGTCAGGGTAAATTAATTAGTAGTCTCAAACTAAGTTGCTCTCGTTACTACAGTAAAGAAGTGAAACTTCTAATGCGACATCCAACAAGGTTGTGTTAAACGTTTTAGAATGCGACTTCCTACGAGGTTGGAACATGCTAGAACGAGACAGAGCGAGTGTGAATGCGTGTCACTCAAACGCATACGCATAGTACCTATACTTGTTACAGGCCGGTGCGAGCGTTAGCAATGAGTAGCGTCTAATGTTTTAATGAAGTATTTAAAAATATATATATTTATTTTTCTATCTATAATTTAAAATATATATAATATAAATGTTGAAGTGGAAGACATCTTATGGTGCCACCACCCTGCCTATTTCTGCCGTGAAGCAGTAATGCGTTTCGGCTTGAAGGGTGGGGCAGCCGTTGTAACTATACTGAGACCTTAGAACTCGTATCTCAAGGTGGGTGGCGGCAGTTGCTTTGTAGATGTCTATTTGCTCCGGTAACCACTAAACACTAGGTAGGCTGTGAGCTCGTCCAACCAAGTGTAAGCGAGTCGTGAAAACGCGAATAAAGGAAGCGCGAATAAGGAACTTTTACGAGTAGGTAGTAACTCTCTTGCACTATTCAGAGTAACAACTTGAAAGTATCACTAAGTAACACACATATAAAGTAGCATTAAGATACTTTTCCTATTCTGTCATCGTTCGTTATTTAAACAAAGTTCTACGTAAAGAAACCATTACATGAACAGACAAACTTTGTAACAGTACAGTACAGTGTTTGAAGAGTGCACATAATAAGCAAACCACTGCCAACGCATTGAATTTGTTAACAACGCCACAATTTTGTTTGATAGGGTAACTGATTAATATCGCGTTTAAAGTAATAGTTCAAATTCTTCAGTATGAAAAACATGAACAAACCTAATAAAACTTTTTTTTTTTTTTAACGCAACCTGAATCTGTGAAAAAATTGCCTATTTGTCAATTTAAGCTATAGGCTCTGATTCTGACGGCGTAAGTTTACACTGCTCTCTTGCCAACAAAGAAGTCGTGGAATTTGTATAGCGCATAACATGAAATATATAGCTGGTCAATATGCATAAAAAACTAGTCAAACGAATAACTCCTTTTCGTCGAGTTATAAAAGCCAAGTATTCTGAAAATGTCTCTAAATTTAAAATCACAAAACACATGTACGAACATTAGCTAATCTCCGCCGAAAAGAAAACAACAGACGGACGTTCGAGATACGAAAATAGTATTATTATGTCACTGGACCGATGGCGCATTCTTGTTCGAACACCATGAAAAAAAATATACCAAAAAAAGAATGAACCAGAACGCTGAGATTCCGAATTTAGAACGGTTGTTCGATTTGCTTGTTTCATTCTAATCAAAAATAGTACGTATTTAAAAGTAACTTTTTTTTTCTTTTTTTTTTATGTTAACTAGCTGAACCAGTCAGACTTTGTAGTGCCTCAACCGATAAATAAAAGACCTAAACTTTTGTATAAAATAAACTTAAAACAAACAAAAAAATTCTGAGTATTTTCATATTTATCTACCTTTTAAACCTTCTCTGGACTTCCACAAATAATTCAAGACCAAAATTAGCCAAATCGGTCCAGCCGTTCTCGAGTTTTAGCGAGACTAACGAACAGCAATTCGTTTATATATATAGATAGATTAAGACCAATGAGTCTCATAAGTGTAGTATTAATATTACAAAATAATCACGAGAAGGGGATTTTATTTTCTTTACGAATTGCAACAACTATCGAAGATACTAAAAATAAATAACTTCGAAAGCCATATGCACTTATTATTCTTCGACTAATCTTCCAATTAGCTTTTCAACTAATAACCGCAATAGTCTAATTACGGTAATGTAGGAAGTCCAAAGATTTCACATTCACTCTTTCTTCGCGTATTAATAATAGTATTTTTGGATAAATGCAATAAAGAGAACAAAAGTCTGCACTGAACACTCAGGAATCTACAACGGCAACAACTATTTCATTTATAATATTCCGATTTCACAATTTAAAAAAATCCTATCTGGATTATCGATTATTTCGTTCATTAAAGTAAATCGATTTTCTGAACGCTAAAAACATTCATCGATAGCAGAACTGTCGTCTATAATTACATGTGACGTTACAGTTCAATCGAAACGCCATATATTTTATTTTAGTTTTCAATGTTGTGAATACTTCAACGTAACTGTACGCAAGCGAGGGAAAACGAATAAAAAAATGTTGTCGTTTAAAAATAGCGTAACTCTTGTTCATTAAATGTTTTCTTTGACGTTTGGAATTTTTTTTTTAAATCTCCCGCATTTGTCATTATACATTGGATACCAAAGCCGTGCTTATTTCTCCCGCAAATCAGTAGTGTATTCCTGTTCGAAGAATGGACAGGAATTGAGACTTGCGTCTCAATGTGGGTAGTAGAATTGACGGTGATATTTTGATGTTTTTGAGTCTTTGTTACTGGGCAGACGATTTCAATATAAGTAAAAAAAATGTATCTTACGTACATTTACGTAATATTCTAACTGACGGCCAACCCTATAAATAAATTTAAATTTAATAAAATTTAGCAAACAATACACAAACGATTGCTGACGACATTTAAGTAACCCTTCCATTCTAAAGGAAAAAGTAAAAGCTGATGTTTTGCTATGAACTATATAGTCATAAACAGAGAGAACAATTCATATTAAAAAGACATCGTTAATATCAAATTCGTATACTTTATCGTATAGCAACTGAATTGTTTTTTTAATTTCTAGAAACACTCCAAACGATTTTATTAGAAGTAATTAATATTACCTTGCACTCAGTAGAGCTGATGATCTCTACGAGGAAGCGCGTTCTGGTTCCGACCTTGACGGTGAGATCCTGCAGTCGCCGCAGGAAGGTGGGCGGATCCTCACCGGAGGGGCTTTCCTCCGCTGATACCTCCAGTCGAACTCTCGCTGTATCGCTACCGGCCGCATTGCTGGCCTAAATATCAAAAGGAAGCACTATTGATATTCCAAAAAAATTTGAATTTTTAGATAAGGTTTTTATTTTATTGCTTAGATGGGTGGACGAATTCCCAACCCACCTGGTGCTAAGTGGTTACTGGAGCCCATAGACATCTACGTCGTTAATGCGCCACCCACCTTGAGATATAAGTTCTAAGGGTATCAGTATAGTTACAACGGCTGCCCTACCCTCCGGTGCATCGCTCAACACGAATACACCGGACGTCTTATCGCTTAGGCCACGACGAATGGGACGTCCTTATATATTTTTTTTATTGCTTAGATGGGTGGACGAGCTCACAGCCCACCTGGTGTTAAGTGGTTACTGGAGCCCATAGACATCCACAACGTAAATGCGCCACCCATCTGATTGTGTTACTCACCTGTAGAGTGTAGACGCCTGTATCGCCGGTCCGGGCAGTGGACACAGTCAGCCTGACGCCGCCGGCCTCTTCGGTGGACACGAACCGGTCGTCCAAAGACGCTCCCGCTCGACTCCTGCACGAACATAGCTTTCACGCTTTATCCAACATGTCTATAACGATTCATTTTGAAATTAAAAATGATACGACGAGGATGTAGCCCGCCTTTAATTGATTACACTAGCTTAAAAAAAAATTGGACATTTAAATAAATTAATAATGCGAATTTATCTCCTTTGTCTAAGTTTCATACGCCAATAGTTTCACCAAAATCTGTGTTGTGCAGTGCTTCAAAAAACAAATTGTTGAATAAAAAGATAAACATTTCTTGATTTCTTGATTCTTGTGAACTATACCGATGGAGTTTGTTAGGTTAGTCTACGAGATGCTGTACAATGGATTTTTTTTGGTAGTTGGTATATTTGAATTGTTTTGTAAATGTCAAGTCAAGTTTGTTTATGAAATTTGTATCTCAGTAAAAAAAAATATTAAGCAAAATTCAGCAAAATTTTACGGTTTATTGCTTAAAACTGTCAACGCGACGCGATTCGATATCGCTAATACAGGTCCTAAATGTACTGCCACTGACAATAAACTGTCCAATATTTATAAGATAGTACGATCCCATCACAAGTTCAGTTTGGCGACTGAAACCAATGGTTCCTAAAAATTTATAAAAACAGATAAAACGAAATATAAAATATTTAAATAGTAATATGCCATGTGTGCCAATGATAAAAGTAATCTTGAATTCAATTTTCATATACTTCTAATAATTGACACATTATAAACAAACTTGTTGTAGTAATTCTATTTTTCCAACTGGACAGGCAAATGTATCGTACCATATAGTCTACTCTTTTATTTTATTTTATGAAAAATGATAATATGAAATGAAAGGAAATGAAGTTGATTAATTTAGGACCATACTCAATTGGCATGAGATTAAATGAAATGAAATGAGATGAGATGATATGAGATGAAAATGGTGTAAAGTAAAATGGTGGTTATTTACTGAGACTTTATCAGTAGACTTTTTTGAGGCTCCCAAGAAGCTACGTCCAGCGGCTTTGTTTCATTTTCCCACATTTGTGCACTTTCACAGATACTAAACAATTATTAAACCACCGTTATAACACCTTTAAATCTGAAGAAACACTAAATAGGCAAATAAAAACAATTCACACAACTTCTCTCCTCGCGTTCCCGTCAAAAAGTCTTATCAAACTTTCGATTTATCAAGTACTATTAGAGTAATATTCTTATTTTAACGTGCTCTTTTAATTTTAAGAAAATAATTTTGCTTAATTAAAACTGATTTTACGGTTTAATCTGGCACTTTTTATTGTAGACCACGTGTTGAAGCTACAATTAGTTCCTTCAGTGTGAAATGAAACGGAAAAGTCTAGAAGTATTTTTAAAAGTAAAATAGACGGTAGTTAGAATAATATTTATATATGTATCGATAATAACACCACAGGCGTCGGTGACCAGGAAAACGGAGTTTTCGAATTGACTTTGTATTCGAAACAAATGCCGGATTAAAGAGGAAAAATAGTTTTAATGATGTCTAAGAGTCGCGAAATGATTGTCTTAAAGCAGCGGTCGGGGAACCGTGGTAAATTACCCCAAATGGGGTAAAAATGAAACTTTTGTGAGTAAAAAGTATATATTGAAGTGAAACTTCTTTAGAATCGTTAAATTTTTAGTTATTATTTTCTTTTGAAAATTATCATGGGGGCTGTAATATGAAAGATGCTAAAAAGAAGCGACTTCGTTTTTTTTTTGTTCTTCGCCATGCGGTAATATCAACTTACACAAAAATATTTTGGGGTAATAATTAAAAAAGTTCCCCGACCGCTGCCTTAAAGTAACGCAGTTTCAGGGCCCTGGTTATTCCAGCTGATGTAATTATGTGAATTGAATAGTTGTCTTGGAGTTTACTTCGTATTTAATATGAAGGCACGTACATGGTGTCGCCATCTATCGTACTGAGGGTGTATATCTAATGTGGCAGAACGCCGGACAATCCTCACAAAAGTCCCGCGTATCAAAACATCACACAACATTAGCGATCAGCGTGGAAGTCTTAAATCTAGTTAATCGCCTTAGATAGTAAGAGTTGTTATTTAATGGAAAATAGGGAACGCTTGATTTTGTGCTTCTAGATAATTTTTATGTCCTCGCCCACAAAACTATCCACCCAATGGCTCAGCCCCTTTCTCCGCGCATCGACAATTCTCAATCAAATCAAATCAAATCTGCCTCTGAATAACTATATCGTGAGTTATCTTGCATCGGCTCAATCTATCCTCGGCTGCGTGGATGTTACGTGGACTGAGCTATTGAAGGTAGATCTTAGCCTAAGTTGACTATAGTGGAACTCAAGCTCTGTCACATGGAATTCAAGTATTGTTAGAAATATCTCAAAACAAACATGCGATTCATGTTAGTTATTTGTTTGATTTAATTATCTAGTTTACTTGTGTAGTTACTGGTGGTTCCATTGAGAAGGCTTTGTGTTTTATAATATAAGTATCTAAGTCAACCAGCTCTGTCGAAATGCAATAAAATTTTACTTTTCAGTTGTCATTATATATATTAAAAATAAAATAATGCAAAACATTTGAGTATTTTGTATAGTACTTAGGACGGTAGCGTTTTTTTTTTGTAACGCCATCTTGTACAGTTTTGAGGTACCTACCAGAATGCTGGCAACTAGAAATGAGCTAATTTTAAGCATATTTGCGAGATGGCGCTATAAAATAATATTTTCATAGATAAACTTTACCAAAACTCTTAGCCAAAGAAACAAACGGTCGTATTTTATATATTATTATGGTAGGACGTCTTGCGAGTCCATACGAGTAGGTACCACCATTCTGCCTATTACTACCCGATGTGGGTAAGTGGCACCAGTGTGCTTGGTGCGAGCTTTTAACGTTCTTGATAGCTTAAAAGTTAACTCAAATCTATATGCAGTTAGTGGCTGCAACGAGGACACGGCGGAGCACACGCTCGCGTACTGCCCCGCTTTCGCGGAGCAGCGCCGCGTCCTCGTTGCAAAAATAGGACCGGACTTGTCGCTTCCGACCGTCGTGGCTACGATGCTCGGCAGCGACGAGTCCTGGCAGGCGATGCTCGACTTCTGCGAGTCCACCATCTCGCAGAAGGAGGCGGCGGAACGGGAGAGGGAGAGCTCTTCTTCCCTCTCGGCGCCGTGCCGCCGCCGTCGAGCCGGGGGTCGGAGGAGGGCGTTTGTCCAGCTCCAGCCCCTATGAGGAGGCAGTCTCCTCCCGGTGATGGTCACGGGGCGACCTAAGGGGGTTGAGGCTGCGCCGCACGCTACCGTCACTCTAGCGCGCTGGCACCAGGAGGACGGGACGGCGCGTCGGCGGCTGCGGACTGCGATGCGGTCCGCATTTTCGTCGTCGCTGTCGTCGCCGAACATACTGTTGAAGAGCAACCCGGTCGGCGGTGTATCGCGTTCCGACCCGGCAGGCTGGTTCTGGCCCAGCGGGGTATCCCGGAACACCAGCGGCACCGCCCGGGCGGCCTGGTAGGGCCGCCGTACCGCGGAGACCGACGTCGTTGGTCGTCGACTATCGCCTCGACGACCCGTCGGTCGGGCGTCCTCGGGGTGGCGCCGCGTGTCTGGTTGTAGTGTTGACCGCGGGAACCCCCCTACTCTGAACGGGTTCTGACCCCGGACGGAGATCGGACGTCGGGTGTAAGAGTGCAGGGGAGTCGTTTAGTGGGTGGGCCCTAAAATCCTTGGGCCCGCGATCTGCTCTCAACACCTGCAGATCGTTGAGTCTCACATACCCCGCGCGCCCCCTAGGCGCGGGGACCTCGTAGGAGGTTCGGCCCCCGGCCCGAAAAAAAAAAAAAAAAAAATCTATATGCAGTTGGAACAGCGCCTCTAGCGGTAAACCTAGGCAAACGATCCAACTCCCTACAAATTTGAGTTAACTTTTACTCTATCGAGAACGTTAAAAACTCGCCTAAGCGCACTGAACGATGTACGGGTACACGGTCCACGTTATGTTAATTGATTACCGGGTCCAGAGATGTTGGGTCGGAATCACAGTTGTGTTATATAAAAAAAATCCTACCGCATAAACTGGGATAGTGCTAATTACCCGGACCTGCATACAATACGCCCTGCGACCTGGTATTTATTTAAATAATGACTAGAGGTCCCGCAGTAGTCGAAATTCGACTATAATTAATTGGAATTGTAAGTTTGTACACTGTTATGATTGTATGTTATACTTCTATAATTACAAATTTCGCCACTATAAAAAATATTAACAAAGACAAACAATATTTAATCTATTCTGAATTTGACAACAGACGTCAAGAACAAAAGTTTGACAATAAATAGTATGCATGCGTGTGTGCGTCAAATACATGGTATGTAGTGGGTGTAATGTTTTCTTTATTGATTTAATGTATCTTTTATGCATTATTTAAAATTAGCATTGTGCACTTCTTCTCTATATTCTCTATAAGTGTGCAAAATTTCATACTCCTCCGTCCGCGCAATTTTTGTAAAAAGGGATACAAAGTTTTTGCTTCACGTATTATTTAAATAATGATTCCATACTATGTGCAGTGACAGTACAGCGACAGGTATTGCACAAACAAATCTAAATAGATACAGGGTGACGCAAGAATGATGAATTAAATCAGTTGGCGCTTGTAATACGCTTCGAGCTTTAAAGTATGAATTGTATTGAAGTGATTCTAATTTTATCGGAGCGTATTTTTATTGCCGTATCATTAACTACGTAATGCATTGCCGACAGGCTGTCATGCTGGTGAAACACACACATTACGTGGATAGATGACTTTTACTAAAAATCTTATGGGACACGTCTCAAATGGTTTTTTACTGGTGGTAGGACCTCTTGTGAGTCCGCACGGGTAGGTACCACCACCCTGCCTATTTCTACCGTGAAGCAGTAATGCGTTTCGATTTGAAGGGTGGGGCAGCCGTCGTAACTATACTGAGACCTTAGAACTTATATCTCAAGGTGGGTGGCGCATTTACGTCGTAGATGTCTATGGGCT